CTGGAAAGACTCCAGGGACAACTGGAAGGACTCCAGAGAGAAGCCAAGCTGGCAGCCCAAAGAAAACTGGGCCGCTTGGCTGGCAGCCGCGCATCGACGATGTTACGGGCGAGTCGACGTTGCCAACTGCTAAACAGATTGTGTTGGAGCACTGCCGAACCGTGTAGCATTGTAACCTGCATTTGTTTCCCAAATTGCTGTTTAATTGTTTCGTTCGATTGTGGCACAGCACCAGGTGTTGCGTTTGCAATAGCACTCGGCGCAATCCCATGGCCGAATCACGGACTTGAGAAGCTCTGGCTTGCACTGACAATGTGTAGCTGGTCGGCAACATCGGACAGTGTCCATTGACAAGGATTTCTCCAATCATAGGGAAGAGACGATCTAATCCGCAGGTCTTTTGTTGGCAAGGCTCGCCATCGGACCTTCCTGAAGGCAGCGGTGAAAAGCTTGCCATTACTGCATCTGAGTTGGGGGACGATGAAACGATGGTGAATGGGAAGCAGCTGGTGACAGCATATCGCGAAGAACCATTTGTAAAATTGTCTTGGCGGACCAGATGTTAAATCCAACGAATTGAGATGTCACTTACTTGCCGGGGAAAGACACAGGCACTGCGCCTCCAAACATATCTGTTTTGTCCGGCAGCTGGCAGGGCTTGCAAACGAGCAGCGGCACAAATTTGAACGATTCACGGCCCTTCACCCAGTGGAGTGAGCTGAATGGTCAGCAGCCCCAGGCAATGTCAAGCTCCAACCAGACTGTTTTGTGTTGCGTCAGGGTCTCTCGTTGTTGTTTGCAATTTGTCCAGGTTGATTGTATTGATTGTAAAGCGCATCTCCCTTTTCACAGCGAAACTCCCCCTGGCATCACTACCTTGTTCCTGTTGCTTGTCGAAATGTCCCTGGGAGCAACAACATGGGCTGTGCCTTTGCCATTCTTTACTTTCTGATCTGGGAGCGCCAACTATCAGGAGACTCCAGGAAGGCATCCAAGACCCTTCTCAGAACCCCTGCTAAGATGGCTCTTTGCTTTGGGGGGTGACGGGGTGGGGCTTGGTTTCCTCCCGACATGGGCGTCCATGGCCAACTATTTTCGGGAGACCTCGCACGCTCAGGGGCCTCCTGGTTTGTAGCCACAGGCTGGCCCGACAAGTGGAACTCCAATTGGGAAATATGCTTGTCTCAGAATTGGGGGACTCGAAGAGGATTGGTCATTAAGAACCACCAGACACGTGGTTCTTCCAGATGTGACTCCGGAGGCAAAGCGAGCTCCCCACACAGCCGCCTTTTCAGTGTCAGGCATCGCAGATCACAGATTCATAAACATTCCCTGTTTGAAAGAAGTGTTTGGAAGGGGCGAGTAGCTTCACAGATCTTTGAACTCGCAACTTGCCGAACTCTTATGCCTACGAATCAGAAAAGGCGAACGGCCACCAGCCCTGAGGTTGAGAAGTCCTTGCCACGTCATGGTTTTGTGTTGGCGGCTGACACTCGCTTGATGGGGGCTCTCCTTACCAAAACATACTGTCACCAAGAACGTTCCAAACGGGGCTGACCACGTGAGACGCGGCATTCCATGTATGATTCCATTGTTCCTGCACCCGCTGATCCCTTTTCTGGTAAGGCGGGGTGCTGCCCCTTAGTCAATCCAGCTCAGATTGGGAGTTGACTCCCGATTACCGGAATCTAGGTGCCACAAGCATCAGGTCAGGTGAGGCCTGGCTCAGTACTAGCAGCCCCTCAACCCACGGCAGGCACCAGGCACACCACATGCCAGAAGAGTTGTTTTTTTGCACGTGCTTGGGCCTGCACAATTGCATTCCACGGGCAATTGGGATCCTTTTTGCGGAGATGCGTGGGCTACATATGCAGCGCATCATGCTAAGCACACATTGTCAGGGCACCTGCTTGCTTGAGTTGACGTGGTGTTAATATTTATGTATATATATATCATACATAGCTTTGGCGATTTGAGTTCACTTGAGCCTTCGTAGGGCCACTTGGTTATCATGGCTGCTTTGTATGAACAAGTATGGTCGTGACCCCCATCTGTGGATTTTAGTCAGCAAACTCAAATTACAAAGAAACATGACTAGTCCCCCTTTGAACGGAGTGTTGAGCTCGGTGCACCTCTTCGGCTGTGTGCTTTCTGTGTGGTCTTTGGGGCGTCTGTTGTGAATGCAAATGTGAGAGCAGTTCGATGGGGTAAGGATGCACTCAGAGGGCCGTGTTTGTTCGTTCTGCTCGCCGCCAGGCACCTGGCCGCCGTGAGGCAGCACTCGGGTTTGGACGTGGCTCCCGCAAGCAGATCTCCCTGTTTTGACGGGAGTTCACAGATCCGGGGAAAGAAATGTAGGATCCCTGTTTTCAGGTTTGGAAGTGTAAGGTTGTCAGGTAGGCCACACAACACGCGCACACATGTTGGCTGGCTTTCAGGGATGGCAAATGAGCAGGGATTGGCAATTGTCATTTGGTTGCCACACGAGCAACTGAAAGATTTCCAAGCACCAGTCAGTATACAGTATACGTTCTAAGCACAAGAGTTATTTGTTGAAATCGAATTGTATGCATCCAGTGTCCTACACATGTCTTGCTCCGATTATGATTATCCCAAGGCCGGCCGGGTTTTGCTTTGTTTTGTGGGGTGACGTTTGGACTATGCCCTCCCCCCACCCCAAAAAATAACAAAGTAGACGGAGCCTGCAATTTTGAGTCAGTGATAAAGGGTTCACTGACTGCTTGACGAATCACAAGGAGTTCTGTTGTGAGGAAGGGGGACTGGCCTTTGAGGGGTGCTGCCCTTCGTCGTTTGATCTTGTCAAACTGACTCTGCAACAACACCTCTAAGCAAGTTCTTGTTCTGGTCGGGTGAGAAATAGGACACATTTGGCCAGGTGGGGCGTAAGTATTAGCAGCGGCAAGTAGGGAAATGAAAGGGCCTACCGAAGTTTGTTGTTGAAGGAACGTGTCGTGATTGACATTGAGTTTGCTCTGTGGCTTTGGAGTGGTACAGGTGGCCCGGCCTTGCAAATTGGCGTGCCCAACTAGTAGCTAAGCCTACAACACGGTGCTGTGTTCTTATTGCCGTACACCGGTGGTGAGCTTGCTGTGCATGTTCATGAAGGCATGCCATGAATTCGGCGTTGGGAACCCGAGTGTCGCTGGACCGCCCGCCGTGTCACTGGACTAGTCGCGCAGAGCTGTGCCATGTGGATGCGCCTGCGTTCCGGCGCGCATGAGGATCTTTCAACAGCCTGGCCGCCTTGTCCCACGCTGTTCAATGCAAGCTATTTGGGGAGAAGCCCGTTGAGCAGAGATGGATCACATTCTTGAGGGTGAGTGCGTGTGTTTGGCATTTAGTCGAACTGGTCAATGATTAGGCTTCCACAACAATTGCCCATGTCTCAGGGAGGTTGTTAGTTCTTGGAGCCTCAAGTGGCAGAAATGGCGAGTCACAGGAGCAGAGCTTATACCTCAGAGGCAATTCTGGTACAGTTGTCTAGTTTTTGTTCGTTTGTTCAGCGCTTGCAACTGTAAGCACGCAAAGGCCGCCCTTCACCAAGATGTTCTGGCATATTGCGATTGACCCACATCGCAATGTTGCAGGGTTCCTGCATTTGAGCATGTGTCTACCAGCCAACTATTGATACAAGTTGACTTGAAGCAGGCGTTCTCTTTGAACTAGACATCACACCCTCCAACTTCCAGCTTGGTTGAGCAACGTCTTGCGACGCACTCGGGACACTTAATTGCTTTCAGCAGGAATGCGGGAAGGGCCCTCTACCAGTCGCAACTGACATTTCGCTGGGTTGCCGTAGCTTGGTTCAGCCACATCTAGCGAGTACAGAAGATATATGCGCCCACGACCTTTTGAATCCAGGTGGCATGGGATCCTATCCGATGTCTCTCCCGGATCATGGCTGGGCGGTTTGAGTGGTCGGCCTCTTTACTTAATTCTCAGGTGCATTCTGCAGGGAAAAAAGGATGTGCCTGTTATTTTCTAGAGCTCGTGGTTGGCTTTCCAAGGAGTAGGGCGTCTACAGGCGACTTTTTGAGCAGTTTTGCGCCATCCAAAGGAGAGAAATCGCGAGGTCAGTGAAGCCTTGGCTTGAGGGGCGGATGTGCTCTAGAGAGCTGCAAAAGAATATGCGCTGCACGCTTTATTTTCGAGATCCGGTTAGACGAAACACGGACACGGCTCAGGATCAGCTGTAAAGGTCTTTGTCACGGGAGCTGGATGCTAGAAACTGCAAAATGGCTGATTTTCTCACGGAAGCCAGGAGGGTATGACCTTAGTTATGGGAACCAGGCAAAGTCAAATATACAGCAGTCGTTGACTGAAAAGAAAGATTACAAAAAAAACACCGACTGGGGGACGTTCATGAGGAAACATCAAGACCCGTGTTTGGGATCCCCACCATCACGCAACTGCCACAGGTGCTGTGCTCAAATCATTTGGATCGGCATGGAGGGTCGCCGTCCTTTTGTTTCTCCAGATAATACGCGGTGGAACTCCAAAAAGGTGGAGGGATCCGCTCTTGCACCTCCTTTTGGGGTTCCATTTCAGCTTTTGGGCTATGAAGGGAGCCATGCCGTCTAGCTTTGCCCAGGGCTGAATGAACCAGACATGAAATTCGCAAGCAGAACAGCGCCATGCGCTTTGCAACCAGAAATGTCAGACCGAGAAACTTGCAAAAGCGCGGGGCAATCAACCAAACCATTCAAAACCAGGATGCTTGACGATGGCAGTTGTCGGGCGATGCTGGGGCACTGAAAGGTTTGAAGGTGTTGTGAGGAAAGGGTCGGGGGCCACCTTTGGTACCGAAATGGAGCAGAGACCCATGTTCAATCGACAAGAGCTCCTGTGTTTGAATTTGTGAATGCATCATGTTGGCGGCTGAGCATTGCTTTTGGCTACGTCCAGGTTCAATCCCATGGGCTGGCATGCATTTGACTCAAGGAATCATTCGTGCTGGAAATGTTGGAGATGCACCTTGCAGCCATTTCGGATCATTTCGGCAAGTTGATGCACACTCCCCAACCTGTCCAGGTTGAGTTTCGTAGCGTGATGATGTTGCGCCAGATGCCACAGGTGCCAGTACTGCAGCACGGGTGCATCGTTGCAATGATTGTTCCAGGCTGGGGGGTGCGCAAAAGCTAACTGCCCAAGTGGTAAATAGACAAAGCAAGGGAATTCACTTGCGGCCCCGGGTGGGATGTTGAAGTCCCCGGATGGAGCACTCTAGGGATGCCAGTTGTCTCATGAGTCATGGAATTCTTAAATTTTGCCTTACTGTAAAGGGAGTGGGTGCGCCAAGTTGCGGAACAGATAGGAGGTTGGCAAACAAACTGCAAAACAATGGGCTTTCTGGCGGCTTTCCTGTGGCTGCCTTCGGTCTGCTTTCACCTTGGCCCCAGGCCCAATGCCTTTTTTGCAGCGTCCCAACATGGCGACGGCTGTGATGATGTCGCCGGTGATGATGTCAAGCGGACCGAGCGGACCGAGCGACATCACACCGATCGCTCACCGTGAGTCAAATACACAGGATGAGAGCCCCAGTTAGTTAGTGGCACCCTTTCGTCTTTTTGTTGGACGAGTTTCCTTTAAAACAAAATCTACTAAAACGGGGTGCCCTTGCTTTCCCCATTGCCGCTGGGCTTCTGAGGCCAAATGCGAAAGAAGAGAACAAAGAGCTCGTGGAGCGCGTTTTCGCCGAGAGCACCTCCGCTTCCGAACACGAGGTGGACGAGGGCGAGGAGGAGCAGCTAGGCGTGAGCGATCCGTTTTGTCGGTGGCTGGGGTCGTGGTAGTTCTTATGGAAAATGCATGCTCCGCCTTAGGGTGTGGACTTCATCTAGGTGGTTTGCCAAACTAGAAGGGGCATAAATATGTTTGTACTCTTCTGTTTCGGGACGGCACACACCAGTGGCAGTTGGTGGGTTAATGCTTCACGGGGAAGCCTTGCATCGAGCCAATATCAGGGTCGTATCAGGTGGGTCCACTGTCCAGTTTTTTTTTGCGACTCTGGATCTTTCTTGGTGAAGGTCCTACGTTGGTCAGGGCCTGATGGGCTAAGGGCGACTTGCCATGGCTTCCAGATCAGACCCCCGAACTTTTTGTTACGTTGGGTGAATTGTTCCGCGAATCAAAAACGTTGTCTCCTTTTCGCTGGTGCAAACTTGTGTGTTGGTCCCAAGGGTTCGGGGGAAGCGACAGGAAACCATCCAGTTTTCTGTTGGTGGGCACATGTTTTTTCTCTGGCCTGGTCTGTGTGGGAAAAGGTAAAGGTTGCTTGATGCCACCCGCTTCTTGATCTTCTTGTTTTGAGTTGGCGCCTGGATCATTTGCCGAATTTGCCCAAGCGATTTGGTTGTGATGATCATCAGATGTTTATCCATCTGGTTTTGAAGCGCAGGCCGGATGAGTACCAGCGCCTCCCGGCGCTTCCGGCGAAAGCGGGCGGCGCAGCGTGCCGCAGCCAAGGACCCCAGCCGACTTGCGCAAGGCCGGCCGAGGTTGGTCTTTGGAGCCAGTTTGGAGCTGCCGTCTTTCTACAGGGGCTCCTTAAAAGATACATTTTGCCCATTTGAAACATGGCTTTCTCCACCAAAATCAAGGGAAGCCACCATTTACAAGGCAATGTTCAGGTGTATAATGTAAGGATCCCTGTTCTAGCTGGAACCGTTCTTTGCTCTCCGCAAATGGGAAACCGCCCAACCTCCACCAATCCAAATGAATTAGAAGGAGGCTGAGGCTTAGCCTTTGGCACGGTTTCATGTTTGGCTTAAGCGGTTTCCGTTTAAGGGCATCAACCACCCCTGGTTGAGGTCTACTACCATAGGGCCATCAAAAATTAAACCCTGGTTGGGCAGCATTGTCCAGCCTCAGGGCCTCGTCAAATGTTTGTTTTTGAAGAGCAGGCAGGTGAAGTTTGGTGGAAGGAAGGCAGGAAGGAAGGAAGAAAGAACACAGAAGAAAAGGAGGTGTGTCCAACATAGGTGGGGGAACCGAGGGAAGAAATCAACAGTTCTGGGAGAACTTCCATAGAAACAAGCTTCAGGGAATTCTTCAAGAAACAAACCCAGCACCCACCAAAAACAACGGAATTGAAACAGAATCACCAGTAGCGCCGGCTTTTTCAAGCCGACGTTTTCAAGCCAACCAGAAGCCGACTTGTCATATTCCTAAGATCAAACCAAAAGCATTTCTTCACGGCCAAAAGCGGTAGGCCCGGTGGCAGTCGGGCGGGTGTGGAACCCCATGGAGGCGCTGAACAGCCACCGGCTCCAGGCTGGGGAGAACCTCCAGGGTGACGGTCAGACTTGGGCTCAAACAAATCACCTGCAATGACTGAGAAAGTGACAAGAGGTAGCAGACTATGTTTCTTGGTGTTTCCCAACCATCCCCCTTGGGCTTTTAGGTTTAGTGGTAGTGTCCACTAAACCACTAAAAGTTAAACTTTTAGCGGGCGAGCTGGGAACAGCACAGGTTTGGAGGTTTGGATGTGTCCTTTGAATGTTCACTGGTATGGAAGTGGCTGCAACTCCCACAGCCCCTCTTGCTGGGTGCCCGGTGGCAGTTCCCTGCTTCCTTTGGCCACTGTTCAACGGAAGGGGCCCATGGCCACTGGGCAACCAAGACATGCCCGCCATGAGTCAACCAACGAAGCCAACAAAACACCAAGCTGCTGATCCCGATCAACCACGTGAAACCCGAGGCCGGGACCTTTTCCGTGCTTGCTCCCAGGAACTGGTTTTGGGAAAGCCAGAAGAGCTGGCTGAAGCCATTGAGGCTTTGAAAGGCGGGCGAACGGTCGATGGTTCCCTTTCGTTTGCTGCTTGTTTTAGGATGAACGGAGGGATTCCCTTGAAGGAAATCGCAAAGCTTGACAAGGATGGTGGATGGTTTCATAGGATAGGGCTATACAGCTCTCTCATTCCCTCCTGAGGGCCAGCAAGTCGGCCTTTTTTCAAGCTTGAACCGTAGGCTTGGGCAAGCCGACGGATGGGAGTGTCGCTTTTCGGAGGGCAGGATTGCGATCGCCTGGGTTAGCCTAGGGGTTGCTAGATGCTGAGAGACAGCATCTTGAAGCTTGTCAGCCGAAAGTCCGTATTTCTGGCTTTCGCCGAATTGGGGGAAGCAGTAGTCTGTGTCCATTTGGTCAAAAACTCTTCGGCAACAAGCACGAAAAGGCGGCGTGCGATTGGGAAGCGCGTATGGGCACCACATCATTCAGCCTAATGCACATTGGCGACAGTTTGCAAAAAGCTGCATGAGGCTCAATTGTATACCCGGGCTCGTAGTTCTTTGCCTTCCACAATCTTTGTTTGACGGACTTGCGAAGGGTCGGTCCCAGTTTGAGGGCGCGTGCTGGCTTGCTGCGCAAATAGACATGTTGAATTTCCTTGCTTTCCAAACTAGATATGGGGATTCAGCGTATTGTGGCAGTGGCTCGATGTGAGTGCTGGAAGGGTGGATACTTGGATGGCTTGGGGTTTGGTTTGCAGCTGACTTTCGGCTTGCTTCCCTGCAAGCCGTGTCAAAGCAAATCACCCCACCCCCCCCTTTCTTTGAGTGGAGGCCATGTGTGGGAGCTTTCCTGTCACCCTACGGGCTGCCGCCTGGTCCAGCTGGCCTTTGAGCGTGGCAACCCACGTGCAGGCGGGGCTAAACCTGGGAAGATGGGTGTGAGTTCCGCCTCTTCTCCCATTTGTCTTCTTTTCTCCTCTCCTACTTTTCGCTGCTCTTCGCTGTTCCTTGCCCTTGGTGTTTTTAGTGTATGTAAATCAATTTGAGTTGGTCAGGTGCCCACTAGGCATGGTCACCTCCCAAAAAGAAAGGGTGGCCTTCCGCCAAAAGTACCCTTCGCACCCTTCCCACAACTAAATGATCAACCAAAAAAAGATGGTTCCTTTACATTTTATTCACTGAACACTGGCCAACCTTGTTTCACCCACACGTGCAACTTGCTCGCCGAGGCGGAGAGCTGGTGGCTGAGCTCCAGGGTCATGTGCTGGAGGCCGTGTGCTCCCCGCACGCCAACTTCGTGCTGCAGAAGGCCATCAAACATCTCACCTGGCCGCCTGGCCAACAAGGTTTTTCTTCGATCCGGATCATCTTCCTGGGAAAGAAGGGTCACCAGTAAGTGGGGAGCCCGGTGCAGTAAATCCTTTCTGTGTGTTTGCGCGTTTGTGTGTTTGAGTATTTCTGTGCGTGTGTGTGTGTGTGTGTGTGTGCTCGTGTTTGTGTGTGTGTGTGTGTGGGTGCGTGTTTGTGTGCTTGCGTGTGTTTCTGAATGCAATACATAAAAATATGTGTGCATATGTGTGTGTGTGTAGTTATGGGTAGTTGGACCACCGCTCACAGCCGCCCGTGGGACGAACTCTATTTTTTGGTGTTTTTGTGTTTGAACTTCATTGTTTCCTTGTTTTTGTTGTGCTTTCTTGCTTTTTTGGTGCGGCGGGTGGGGGTGTGGGGGGGGGGGGTGGGAATGATTACGTCACTTCTTTTTGAGTTTGCTTGGCAGGAACTTCTTTATTTCCTGTTCTGTGGGGTGTGTGGCGTTCTTTGTTAGTGTGCTGAGCTGTATTGTTTTGCTGTAGCTTCTTGTGCCCAAGCCATGGTGTCAGAAGACGTTCGTCTAGCGTTTGCCTTCATCATCTTGCTGCGTTTGGCTGGCGTCTCGCGTTGCTTCTCTACACACTCGGTGCTGGGTCCTTTCTTCACTGTCTGGCAGCCTTACTTGGACTCTCTTCCCCCCGTCGGCTTTTGATAAGAGAGTTCATCATGCGGTTCCCAGGCAACATGCGGCCTTGAACATGCCAGTGTGTTGCCTGCAGCCGAAAAACCAACAAATATTTATTGGGGAATTACCCTTTGGGTGAAGAACAGACTAAGGACCCCTTCCCGCCGTCGGTTTTTGAAAAGAGAGTTCATCATGCGGCTCCCAGGCAACATGCGTTCTTGAACATGCCAGTGTGTTGCCTGCAGCCGAAAAACCTACAAATATTTTTAGGGAATTAACCTTTGGGTGAAGAACAGATTAAGGACCCCTTCCCCCCGTCGGCTTTTGAAAAGAGAGTTCATCATGCGGTTCACAGGCAACATGCGGTCTTCAACATGCCAGTGTGTTGCCTGCAACCGAAAAACCGACAAAGATGTTTTGGGAATTAACCTTTGGGTGAAGAACAGGCTAAGGACAACTTCCCCCCGTCGGTTTTTTGAAAAGAGAGTTCATCATGCGGTTCGCAGGCAACATGCGGTCTTGAACGTGCCAGTGTGTTGCCTGCAACCGAAAAACCGACAAATATTTTTTGGGAGTTAACCTTTGGGTGAAGAACAGACTAAGGACCCCTTCCCCCCGTCGGCTTTTGAAAAGAGAGTTCATCATGCGGTTCCCGGGCAACATGCTGTCTTGAACATGCCAGTGTGTTGCCTGCAACCGAAAAACCGACAAAGATGTTTTGGGAATTAACCTTTTGGCTTTTGTTGAAAAGAGAGTTCATCATGCGGTTCCCAGGCAACATGCAGTCTTGAACATGGCCTTGACACACGATAGTTGGGGGCTGAAAAATTAGCTTCTGAAAGCAGCGTGCCAGTGGGCTTCGGGGACGCAAGAAATTCCCCACTGTCTCGGCCATTTTACATGAGGCACAAACACCTTGACACACGATAGTTTGGGGCTGCAAAAATGAGCTTCTGAAAGCAGCGTGCCAGTGGGATTCGGGAACTCAAATTCCCCACTGTCTCGGCGCATTTTACATGAGGGACAGACGGGGCTCTCCTTTCCCCCCTGTAATCGCAGCTTCGACAGGTTGCTCCGAAGCCAAAAAACGCCCGATATCACACGGGCTACTATGGGCGGCGTGCCGTTATGGGTAGTTATATACATATATGCATATACAAATGGTTATCTATCCAAAATATAGATATATATGTATGTGGTTGTGTGTTTGTTCGTTCGTTAGTTTGTTTGTGTGTTCGCTCGCTTGTGTGTTTAATTGTGTATGTTTGTTAGTTTGTGCGGGGGTTTGTTTGTTTGTTTGGTTGGTTGGTTGGTTGGTTGAGGGGATGCAGGTCACACAATCCGCCAGATGGTATTTAAATGGAAGGGGAAGTTGCTAGACAGACGATTCGGTGGATTCACAAATTGAATGCTGGTGTGTGGTGTTTGTTTGCCCGGGATTTCAGGAGAGCCTGGCAAACAAGCAAGGCCTGTCAGACCCCAAAAAGGATAAGGAACTGTTGAACGCTGTGGATTCCATGCGATTTCTTTTTTCGGAGGGCCTTTGGTTAACAGTGAGTACTATAAGACCAATATTTTGCTGGGGTGCCCCGATTTGAGACAAGCCCAAAGCAGGGGGAGCAAGGGAAGCTGCGCCATTCACCCTAGCTTGTGGTTGGCTTGCCTGTAATAATTATGGTTCCTGCTTCGAATTCACTTATGTATCACTGGTCAGTTGAGTGGATCTTGCTTTCTTCCAGGGACTCCCGGACCCCTGGTACATCATGACAATAGCAGGATGTTGCCACATCAAAGTTGTACTTTGCGTATTGGGGGTGCTTGTTCTCCCGCCAGTTCTGACCATTCGCTGGTGCTGACCCATCTCCTTACTTTCGAAGTTCTTGGCCTTCGTGCTTTTCATGAAGCCAATGACATCTGAAGCAACCTGGTCCACACTGGGTGGTACATCAGTCCTGATTTTTACCGTCCAGAAGCACAGAAGGGTCGATATCTTCTAGGGCCTTTGCCCTACTTACTCATTGTAGCCTAATCCTCTTGGCCAGGGAGCTTCATTCCGGTTGAGCCCCTCAAGATTGCCAGGGCTACCTTGGCTCGGTCCAGATTTGACATGACATCATGGCTGGTTTCTTGGGTACGCGCAGTACCCAGCAGGTCGCAGACCTGCAGGGTGACAAACAACCCTTAGTTGCCTTTCTATTGTTTCTTGGTGTCCCTCCCACCAATGAGCATGGAACCTGACAGCGGGTCCCTTTAAAAGGAAAATGGTCTTCCATGACCCCCTGTCCGGCCTTTCTTTCTGTTCCCTGCCAATGGCTATCCTTCCCCAGGCGAGCATGAAAGCTTTCACGACTCCTTTCGAAGAGTTGGCCTTCTGGGAGCTTGCGGCTGTCTGAAGGAGTGTATCCCAATTGCTCAGGGCCGCCTGTGCCTTCATGAGCGCGGAGCTGGAGGGACAGGCAGCTTCGCTGGCGTGCCACCAGTATGGCTGCCGGATCTTTTGCCGGCTGCTGGAGTTTTACTACGCACAGGACGCGCTAGTTTTGAGGTTTGTTTCGTGGGCTTTTCACTAGACACGAAAATATGGAACCCGGCTACTGGACATTTTGGAATCAGCTCGCCTCTTCTCAGAAGTAGTCGGTTCGCCACATCGCCCGCAGGAGGCTACACAGCGGCTCATGGATGAAGTGCTGCAGGCCGAAAGGGGTGGGAGAGGGGGCTAAAGCGGTGACCTCGTAAGAGTGTCTCCTTTCTGGTTGATGTTGCCTGTCCAGGTTTCTGTTTTCTGGCAAGGGGTATAATCCGCCTGACATTGTCTGACCTTGTCAGGTCAATTTTGGAGTGGCCGTTAATTCTTTCTGGTGCGGAACCGAGAATATCCAACCTGCTGTTGGGGTGAATGCTGCTGATGGGTTTCAATAATTTCCTCCACAGCTTTCCCAACACTGGCGGGGGCTTGTCAAACTTATGGACCTCTTTGGGCCCCCCTTTAGCCTTTCAAGGTGGCACAGACACACACACACACACACACACACACACACACACACACACACACACACACACACACACACACACACACACACACACACACACACACACACACACACACACACACACACACACACACACACACACACACACACACACACACACACACACACACACACACACACACACACACACACACACACACACACACACACACACACACACACACACACACACACACACACACACACACACACACACACACACACACACACACACACACACACACACACACACACACACACACACACACACACACACACACACACACACACACACACACACACACACACACACACACACACACACACACACACACACACACACACACACACACACACACACACACACAGACACACACAGACACACACAGAGACACGCAGAGACACGCAGAGACACGCAGAGACACGCAGAGACACACACAGAGACACACAGAGACACACAGAGACACACAGAGACACACAGAGACACACAGAGACACACAGAGACACACAGAGACACACAGAGACACACAGAGACACACAGAGACACACAGAGACACACAGAGACACACAGAGACACACAGAGACACACAGAGACACACAGAGACACACAGAGACACACAGAGACACACAGAGACACACAGAGACACACAGAGACACACAGAGACACACAGAGACACACAGAGACACACAGAGACACACAGAGACACACAGAGACACAGAGACACACAGAGACACACAGAGACACACAGAGACACACAGAGACACACAGAGACACACAGAGACACACAGAGACACACAGAGACACACAGAGACACACAGAGACACACAGAGACACACAGAGACACACAGAGACACAGAGACACACAGAGACACACAGAGACACACAGAGACACACAGAGACACACAGAGACACACAGAGACACACAGAGACACACAGAGACACACAGAGACACACAGAGACACACAGAGACACACACAGACACACACAGACACACACAGACACACACAGACACACACAGACACACACAGACACACACAGACACACACAGACACACACAGACACACACAGACACACACAGACACACACAGACACACACAGACACACACAGACACACACAGACACACACAGACACACACAGACACACACAGACACACACAGACACACACAGACACACACAGACACACACAGACACACACAGACACACACAGACACACACAGACACACACAGACACACACAGACACACACAGACACACACAGACACACACAGACACACACAGACACACACAGACACACACAGACACACAGAGACACACAGAGACACACAGAGACACACAGAGACACACAGAGACACACAGAGACACACAGAGACACACAGAGACACACAGAGACACACAGAGACACACAGAGACACACAGAGACACACAGAGACACACAGAGACACACAGACACACAGACACACAGACACACAGACACACAGACACACAGACACACAGACACACAGACACACAGACACACAGACACACAGACACACAGACACACAGACACACAGACACACAGACACACAGACACACAGACACACAGACACACAGACACACAGACACACAGACACACAGACACACAGACACACACACACACACACACACACACACACACACACACAGACACTGACATCAGGCTTTCAACAGGTAGGTAGTGCCTGTTGTTGACAACCCGCCATGTGCAACTAGCGAACGAGATTGCAACCTGCAAAGAAACCTGCAAGCAGGAAGTCCAGAACCCTCTTCAACAAGATGGCAGTGGAAAGCACAGACTGGGTCACACTCCAATCTGGAAACCGCGCTTGATGTTGCCACTTTTAGGAGTGGCTAGCCTGCCTTGGGATAGCTTTAGGCTTTAGGTTACTGCATGTGCCGAGGTGCTGTTCAATTTTGGCACTTTTTTTGCATGTGGAATATGCCTGACTCGCAGATTCGCCTGCCTAGCAGCAGCGCCCTTTTGCCCTGGTTCGTTTGCACAATCGCGGAGTCTGTATGTTCGAAGGAGACCATGCTGTCCCTGACCTTCCAATCACTCTCCCAAAGCCACCGTATTCCTAAGGATTTGGGTTGAAGTGACCCGCATTGTCGGAACGGCCATGCAGTGACACGATTGGTAAACAGGTTCATGAAACAAGATGCTGGACAGTGGTTTTGCTGCCAAACTCTTGGCGAGTTCGATTTAGTGTGTGGTTGGTGAATGGGATCCTGCTTTCTTGAAGCACTTCTGCAAACTGGCCATGGACAGAATTGTGCTGGCCCCCGAACTGCGCCACCCCCAAATACACTAAGATGAGTCGAGATTGAAGAGGTTGATTTGGTGGGCCAAGCAAGGCCACGTCGCCCATGGTCCTTGGCAGGACGCCGGCAGTCTGTGCTGCCATCCCTTTGGCCACCATGTGGCGCATTCAGTGATGGAGCATGGCAGCCACCCAGTTTCGCATGTGGCAGACTTTGAACCTTTCTTTGGGCAGGGTCTGCTTCAAAGCCAACCGGGGGCACTTTTTCCCCAATCTCACTGGACTTCTGAGGCCAAAAGCATCGTGACATGCTTGCCATGGGGATCTGTTGCAACCCGATTGGCTTTGCCAAGAACCCCAGTGCCAGCTATTTGGTGGAGAATGCGCTGTTTGTGTGCTCCCCATGCTACCAGGAGGCAGGGTAGCCTTAAGCTATAGAACCTTAGGACATAAAGTGCGAGTGATAAATTGGCGAATAGTCCCAGCACACTCTTGTAAACAACCCTGAGAGGCTTTGCTCCGAAAGCTTACAAGATCATTGGCAGACTTGGTAACGTCTCACTGCGGCTGCTTCGTGGTGAGGGCCGTGCTCGAGCACCCGAAAAGCAATCAGGAGGAGATGGCTTGAATGCAAGCGCAGCCGACAAACACACACCTTGTGCAGCACCTGAACAGAAACATGGGCCTGTCGCAGAACAATGACCCCATTCGTGTACAATGTGCGTATTGAATACACGTGCTCTACTCCCAGCAGATTCCCTGGTAACATAGAGCCTCCCCACCAAAGGGCCGCAGCCATTATGTCACCAATCATGGAGCACAGGCGTTTGTGTCCTGATATGTGGGTCATTCCGAGCTATTGTGATCTTGGATCCAAAGCCACAACGATTGATTTCCAAAGGCCCCAAAAAAATGGCAGATGATTTTGCTACCCCCATGCAAGACCCTACGCAGTCGCCCAGTTTCGCTCAGGAGATCTTGGAGCAGCTGCAGGGTGCGGAGCTGCGGAAGCTGAACCTGATGGACCTGGGCTTGAACCGGCGGAGAATGAATTCAGGCATGGATCAGTAGAAGAAAATCAAAGCGAAGGCCCAAGTGTGAAGAGTGAAGAGTCAGATAAGTTGCAGATGCCTTGAACATTGCGAGAAGTGTGACACCCATGCAAACGCTCGCCTTCACCGCATTTCACCGCACAAATGATTTGGGCGCGGGGCCTTGTGGCCTTTAATTCCCCGGGGCTTGGTCAGTGCATGCTGTCAAATAATCTTCCCGGAATGATCTATTGGAAACCGGCTTTCTTCGTTTGACCTCCAGTGATGCCGTTCCCGCCTACCAGAAGGCCTTTGTTGGATGAAATGTTCATGTTACCAGAAGGGTAGTTCACTGGAAATCGAAGGAGCCCAGGCAACACTCCTTGCCGCTGACAAGCTCAGCGGCAGCATTTCGAGTTGTCGCAATCTGTCCGATTTTGCCCATGATAAGGAAGTGGTGGAGGCAAAATGCCACCCACACACTTTCTCATATAACTGATTGAATTGCAGCGGGACTGGCCGAGCTTTGGACCAGCTGCCATTCTGAATGATATGCTCTTTCTTGTTCCCCAAGGGGCTGCCGCATGCTGCAGAATCTCATTTAAATCCATCCGTGCTCAGCCCAATATGGGTTCCAGTTTTCGGCGTGACTCCAACATTGTTTCAACTGGATCTTGATTCGCTCTGGCAAGCGAATGGATGTGCTTCGTTGCCAGGACAAATTCTTGTGCAGATGCTGGCATCAAATCTCCTCAAAATAAGTCGTCCAACAGCATCAAAATCAATCCAATTTCACAGGGGGCAAGTGATGGTGTTACTGTTACTTATGTACTGTAGGGAAAGCCAGCCATGAATTGAGATCAAGTCATGCTGATGGAGCGGTGCGGCATGGTGACAGCGCAATCCTGACACAACGCCGGACATTTGGCCGCTCACAAACCACGATCGAGACTCAGGAACAGACTCCTGTCTAGCACAGAAAAACGCGGACAGGCAAATCATTTGACTGTGGCTAAACTTAAATGAGTTCTGCCGAGGATGGCATTCTCCAAGTTTCTACAATTTTCTGGAAGACGCCGGGACCCCTGCATGCTCATCAGGCACCCGGGGTTTGCGTCAAAGAGTTTGGTGACTGCCCGCCTGTTGGCACTGACCAATGTGCTGGGGCTTTTGGGCTCAAGTCGCCTTGAGAGGTTCTGTGACTGACGCGGACAGACCAGTGGATTTGGATGAGCTTTGGCATTGTTGGGCTACTTGGCAGGGTCTACTTGGTCTTACCAGCTGTTCATTGCAATGGCCAAGCATTAGGTTGAATGGGGTACTGGCTGTTGAAAGGACTCGGTGAGCATGGACATTTAGGGATTGAACTGTCCAATTTGATCAAGCCAGACAAGAACAAAACACATTGGCAGAAGTAGAACATTTCAGCTAGCGCTGGATGCATTCTGGCCGGTTGCCTCATGTGGCGTGGCGATAAAGTTAACCTAGCTGGTGCAATATGAATCAGGTTATGCTTTTGAGCCAGCCATAAGGGCCACTTGCTATGCAGCTGATGGTGGTGCGCGAGCATGAGGTATGTGACTTGGAAGAGTCCAAACTGTGGCCCAGTCTAATGCCATCACCCCCAGTGGGAAAGATGAGTTTGCTTTCCGGAGGCATGGCCGGGCCTCAATCCGTAGGGCAAACAGGAAGCAGATTTCGTTCGCCCGTTCTCCCCTACTAGAGGAGCCGATAACCCAAAAAGCTCGAGCGCTGCTCCGTCTCAATTCATGGAAATTCACCACGCTAGCAAAACCATGAGTTTCCTGCAATCGCTTGCTTGCAAACACCAAAAACATGTCAAGCTGCATAAAAGATACCTTGAGAGACGACGAAAGAGCATCATCGAGGTTGAAGGGCAGTAGCTTTGCCCGGACATGAAGCACATGTAAGCCAATACTAAGCTGCTACCGAAGACTAAGTACTGCCCGAACTTAAAGCTCCCTGTGCTTGCGTTTGAATTATTGTTGTGAGAGTCGTGTTGGCTGCTCAAGCGGGGGTAAGCTCGAAGAGTTGACAGAGCTCCCGGCATCAGATGAATACAACTTACCAAAGAAGTTGCAGCTGCCAGCAGCTCCCCAACTGACAGCTCTTTGCTCGCGCGCTGAGTTCGGCCTTCTCTTGTTGCCGCTCGCGGCGGGTGGCAGTGTGGCTCGGCAAACGGGGAAAGAGGGCCTGGTTGATGTTTCAGGGGGATGAAGCCCAGTTCAAAGACACACGGTTCGAGCTCAGGTCGGCGTGGTTGGCACGGTGAGAACTTGTTGGCTTGCAAACGCTATGTTCTTGGCGAAGGGTCAAGGGTTCTTTGGTGCCCTATCAACATTTTGTGTTGGTACTCGACATGTTTGTGCAATCACGGCGGCAGCGCGTGGTGAAATCATTGATGCCTTTTGTTTCTTGGGAGTTCCTGAGCGGGCAGCCTGCGCAGTGGTTGTAGCGGGGTTGAGGTCAGGATGCGTACAGAAGTTGTTGAGCACCAAACTTGGTTTGGATGACACAGCGTCGCGCCTGGGTGGTCCATTTGGGTCCACTTGCGACCAGCACAAGCATGGATGTGTGCTTCCGCTTGGACGACATGCGTGCAAGTTGCCACCGAGGCAAACCCAGTGCCGTGTGCCATGTCAAGTCTCAATTTGGGTCGAGGCCGCCCGTAACTTTGCAAAGGTCAAGTGACCCACCGTATCCAGCAACCCGGGTGCCCACACGCCCACACTCCCACACGCTTGCGCACCTGGGACATGGGGAGGTGCCAAGGCACGGACTGTTGAGAGCTTTCTCTTTGGATGCACCCTGCGCGAACTGACATGCACAGAGGTTTGTGCTTTGGGTGCAGGTAGCTGGAGGTTGGAATTTGCTCTACCTCCGACAAAGACATGCAGTTGCGCTTAAGTGTATGTGGTCATAAAATCGGATGAGGGAAGGAGCTTGAGTTTTCTTTTGGGGCACCCCACCTTGCCTTTGGCACTGCGCAGGTCAGGGTTTCGTCCCCTTGCCTACTGTGCCCTTTCGCTAAAACGCAGCAAGCTGAGGAAACCCGAAAGGCCTTGTTTCATTCCCCAGCCGCAATATTTTGGAAGGCGCCTGTGTCGAACAAGTCAGAACAAAAAGCTCCCCCGAGGTGTGCGAGTCCTGCCGGTTCTGTGCGTCACTGGTGCACACGCAGCTCGACAGAGCTGGCGCCTTGTCAGCAGTCAAGCATGGCACTCGCATTCGCGTTAAAACGGGAAATCAGCTTTGCGGCCATTAAGTCATTCCTGCAATAAGAGGAAGCACCTAAAAGCCGCCCACAACCCAAGAAGGGTTCGTAGAACTTTAATAGAAAGGGTTCTTACAGGGGCTCTGAGAACCCTTTTCTAATGATGAGCCCTCTGCAAAGAGGGCTTAAACCCAACCAATTTAGGGCACTTCCCTTTTGAGGCTGGCTTTTGAGTTGCATGACGTCGGGTGTGTTCAGGAGGAACTTTGTACGTACAGGGCAATCTTGATGTTCCATGTCGTATGGATTGGGCAGCGAAGCGGGTTGGCAGAAGCCGCTTCTCACCTAATGAGGGCCCATGATTTATGCCCCCCCCCCCCCGAGGAAATGTTTGGGGTGTGTCCTTTTGTGCATGAATTCTGAATGTGCAAGGCTGATTATACAATCCCGGGTCAACAAGGCAGTTCATGGCAGTTTCAGGCTTTGCTCCGTGTTGTTTCAGGGGCACTGGAAGACTGGACTTTTAGTAGGCCCTCTAAGTGACACGTCATTCGCATGCTTACAAGCAACTCCGTTTGGGACGCCCTTTGGACGGAGATCGGTGCTAGATTTCACGAGTCCATGGGGACACAATATCCAGTTTTTGACTTAGTCCATGCTGGAGCTCCCATTTGATTTGGCTGTGTCTCTTTGCGAGGGGCCCTTTTTGGATTGCCTTAAAGAAACCAAACGGAAGTCACCTCCCAATCTTTGGAGATAACTTCTTGGGACCCCGCCCGATTCGGCCTGGTGCAGGCACAGCCCAAGAGCTTATCACCGCAGTGTCCCAATCTCTGGCGGAGGTGGGGGTTTGTCAAGAAACGGGGTAGTCCTATTTGGGCTACGCGGCTACCCTACGGAAAAAAATACCAGGGTGTCACCCTAAAGTTCGGGATGTTGCGGACAGCTTGATTGGACACATGTCTGGATTTTCTCGAAAAAGCCTAGGGAAGTATGCCAGGGTCGCTCTGCCGCCGGTTTGTTTCGGAGACAGACGGTGGCAGACTTGGGGTGGGGCTGGGGGCCAGTTGCTCAAATCAAGTGCCCCTGGCCCGTTCGTCAACAAGCTCGGGGGCGTGCCAAGGGGCACATTGACTTAGATCCGTTAGCCAGGCACATCCAACTCAGGTTTGCTGCCTGCAGTTGATTCAACTTTGATTTAGCTTGTTGCCGCCTAGGCCTTGGATTCCTATGAGCTCAAAAGTCGTTGGTGGCAGAAGTGCTGAAGTTTGAAAACCTGGGCCACCAAGCATCGAACGCTCCAAGCCATGCGGCTACAGGACGAGCATCATCAGCGATGCCGCCGCTATTTGACATCTGACCGGCACATTCTGCAACGCCTCTTGTTGCCTGGCGCAAGCAAAGACCGGCCCGTGGCAATGATAGTGTCATGCAACATGTTGGCCAGTGACATGAAGATCAAGGTGCCCTGTTGTGAATTCACACGTGTGTTTGAGGGGCAGGACGGGCTCGCGTCTTGGGGGCTTCATGATTGCCAGTTTAGACAGTTTAAGACTGCCAGGGTTTGGGTTCCACGCTGCAGCTTCACGCAGGATGCGTAATGCAGCTCAGCATTCGGACAAGCGGGGGATCAACTCCGAACTGTTGCCTGTTACTGTTTGGTGTGCAGGGGTTGCAGTTATGGCAGTGGTTTCCGGACAATCTGATTGAGAGATATTAAATACTGTGTCTACTTACACGCCCAGCAGGCAGAACCCAAGCACATTCACACGTGGCGCCTTGAGAAGTTGGTTTCCCGCAAACAAGCGATAACTAACAGCCAGCAAAACTAACATATATATATATATACAATATACATATACATGTGTATATTGTGTGTATATACATGTACGTGCTAATGGGTCTCATGCAAGGGGTTCGTACAAGGCTTCATGCCTTCAGCTTTTAGCAAGCTGCACATGTGATCACCGTTTGTAGTCCTCGGAGTCCTCGGCGTTCTCTGCTTGCTTGGGCCAGAGCAGTTGGCTCAAAGTGGGAGGTATGAATCAGATTTCCCAGCCCTCGGGACTTGCCATGGTTGGTTTCTCTTTAAGAACGCCAAACTGAGGCAGTTTAAAGATTTCCCCTGAAGCATGCATGTAAATTGACGAAGCGCGAGTGTTTTATGAAAGCGTGGCGTGATGCGACCGTGATTGCACGTCATTCATTTTTCAGTCGGCCTCTGAGGACCGCGAGCTCAACACCCAACTTGCCTGCGGTTTGGGAGGCGCTGTGTGTCGAGAGGCTGCGGTGCCCTGCCGGGGGAGACTTAGGCGCCGCGGCACCCAGGTTCGCATGCTCAAAAATGGCCCGCTGGACGAGTCTTTGCTCCTTATGTTTAGGCTCAGGGATCAGGGCACGGTTTTGGCGTTTTGCGAGGGATGCATGTTGAGCGTCAGCATTTTACAACCTTCTGGGATGCTTTTGGCATGTCAAGGTTGTGCCTGTCTTAGGCTTCAGGGCAGTAGTTAGTTTCCATTTTGGTTGTTGAGGCCCAGGGAGCATCCCCATCATCATCATCCTGTCAGGTAAACTGTCCCCTTCTTCACCTCCTTCTGAAGAGAGGAGCGAGTACTGGAGCCAGTCAGTGAAATCGCTTGGGAGGGAATGCAGCCGCCTCACTGTTCTGTTGTTTGTAGTGGGGGAAGGCTTAAATGGTTGGCAAACGCTTCTCGTCCCAGCAGCGCACACCGGGGTTTGGGAAAACACGTTTTTCGTCATTGGATGCATTTATGATGAAGCAAGCGGAAAGGTGCACATGCCCCAACACAGTGCGTTTGACAGACCATGCGCCGACGAAGTTCTTCTCTCCCGCCGGGCTTTCGGTGCTTATAGGACCAGCTACCAAGACGGGCAGGCAACCTACGGCGCTGAGACCTGGCCGGGGAAGGCCCCGGGTCTGGGAACGTCCCGAAGCGTGGCAAGTGATGAAAGGGATCGTCCGGAATGGAAAAGGTGTCTTTTTTTCAGAAAGCAAGGTCCTGAGCGGTGTTTTTTTTCATATAACCACTTTTGCCCCTTTTGTGCTCTGAAACCACAAAACAAATCCTCGAGAAAACCAAAAAACACACAAAAAAAAAAAAAACAGAAAAAAAGAACAATCTGGTGGAGGACGAATCATCCAACGGCATTTGCCACTTTAAGCAGAACTTTCTGAGAGTGCACCGTATGAGCCGGTGGCCCTTCGCCAACTACACGGCGCATGCCGTGTGCTACATTCCGGGACCCCAACAAACTCATCCCCCAGGGGCCAAGCGGCCAAGTGAGCAACACACAGTTTGTCCAGAAGTTTGTAGTGTGATTTGTCGGTCTTGCACTATCCAATTGCTCTCGGGGGGGGGGACTACCCTCATTCGTTTGTAGCACTGTGAGTTCCAAGTGTGTTTGATGTATTTTGAGGCGGCTTCTGAAAACGGCGATCCCCACATGAGTTTGACGCATTGGGCATTTCCAGGGCTGAACCAGCCATGAGGAGGCTCCCATAATCCAGGAACGTTCTACAGGTCCCCCGGCACCCAGCAGTGTCTCTTTTTCCTCCTGGGAGTTCTGAAGCTCGGGGGCTCTTTGCCCAGGAGGATGCCAAAAGCGGAGCAAAACACACCATCGTGCTGAGCGATGCCGACGCCGAAAGCTGCGATGGTGACGCCGAAAGCTGTGAGAAGGACACCGGGGATGACTAGGTTCAGATGCGAAATGATATGTTTTGTCAGGTGTTGAGAGAGGAGGTGCTTCAGGCTCCAGTAGATGGAGTCTTCATGTTTTATCTGCTTTGTGGACATTGGCGCAGGACAGTCCCATCCCAGAAACAAGCACACACAACGCACGGGGAGGGCCTGCCTCGTCGTTGTCCAAAAAAAACACGGAGCCATGTACGGCTGCCTTGCATGTCTCACAGCCGGTTTGGGTCGGAGCTGTTCCTCGCCGTAGGAATCTGGGATCCTGGAAGCGGAATCGGACACGCCAACAAAGCCACCAGATCCGCTGAATCCGCACTGTGCAGTGCCGAAGGACAGCTCTGGGGTCGAGTGCCTCATGCTTGTGTTCAGCAAGGAATCTTGCAATAACTCACTACCAGTCTGTACAAAGGTCCATGTATGTAGGGGTTCATTGCCATATTCCTTACTAAGAACGTGCAAGTCATCGAGTTTTTTTGGCCCGTTGTCAGCTCTGATGTTGCTGTTATTGTAGGATGCTGTTGCTGCAAGCTTTGTGCAATTGTGAACACTTATCCACCTGATGATCTGCGCTCGGCCGACCCTCGCCAAGACGAAACAATAGCAACCAGCAAGCCAGCAAGTTGATGACTTAACAAGTATCACGCACTTGGTGCTATCACCCAAGCCAGCTGCACCAAGGTGGGCGACTAGTGCTCCCCTACCTTTGGCCAGTAGGGCACATGCATTCCCCAATCATTGCTTGGGCGGAGTTGCCTAGTTGCAGAGGAGAACCACTATCGGCGACTGCACAAGTAAGTACATACGCATGCCTGGCAGGCCTAAACATAAATGGATAGATCGATGAATTGGACTGCTGGCACTTGGACTCCAGGGGTGTAACTTTGTAGCAGGAGAGACGTGAGGACCTCCTGACCCCGTAAAAAGTATTAACGACCCCATTCTAAGATCCCCTTCTGAGCCAGGAACCTTTCCTTGGGTGGGTTTGGTAAACAAGAATCGGCTGGGACAACCACCAGAACCGACAGGATATTTTTCCCTCGGCAGGACACGTACCGAGACCTCCTTTCCACTCGCGTGGTGCTTGTGGTCTTCAGCGGCCGCTGGGACCGGCTCCGCATCTTGATGCGCTACCTGCGTCGCGACCTGCGCTCGGCGGGCACCTTGGAGTTCGATGCAGGACCTAGACAGTCATTTGGACAATCGCAGGCTCATCTAAGGGGATAAAACCAGTTCACCGTTTTTGCGGCTTCCTTGTTTTGAGACAATCCCATCTGGGTTCCTCGCAAGAAGCTCATGCTAATCTAAAAGTGGACAGGTGGCCTTTCAAGAGGACTATAGTCTTCCAACCTTCCCCCATCGGCTTTCAGGGTATTCCACGATTGTTGGAAAGCGGGTGTGCACCTCCTATCCAGTTGCACGGCCGCGGTTTCAGCCAAGGCGGTGTGGTGGATAAGATCATTTTCGCGTTGTGGCAGGTCACGGCCAAGGAGTGGGCATCGGTGGGAAGACATCCCTAGCCCCAAAGAATGATATTTTTGGAGGGTGTTTGTTTGTGAACAGGGGTCAATGTATTTTATTCCGAAGGCTTCACATACTCTGGGGTGTGCTGCTTCAATACCAGGGGCACAAATGGGCCCAAGCACATAATTGAGAGGGCTGTTAGACTTGAAGGTCGCTTGAGGAGGGGATGTTGTGAGTGTTGCTTTTGTTTCTTAGACTCAGTTCCTGAGTTCTGGGACTTTCTACTTTGGTCAAAGACAACAGTGTTTGTTGCATCATACCCCGATCTGAAGCAAAAGTTACGCTAGCAAGGAAACAGCCATTTGTTCAAAACGTCAACACGGTCAAACTACGTTCGCGGGGAACCAGTCAGTAATTCAAAACATCACAGTCAAAGCTACGCTAGCAGGGAAACAGTCAGTATTCCAGGAAGTCAAAAAGGCTGAAAGCCAAAGAAACTAGACCACGGTTGGCCCGAAAGCATAACATCGCAAGCGAGGTCGGCCCAACGCTGCAGGATGCGTTCTTTTTCCCTACACGAAGCATTCGTGAAGCAAGCGCGAGACAGCACCAGGCAAGGTGCTCTGCGCAAACTGGTCGGTGCAAGTTGGTCTGCGCACGTTGCTCTACGCAAGTTGCACTGTGCAAGTTGCTCGGCGCAAGTTGCTCCGCGCAAGTTGCTCCATGCAAGTTGGTCCCTGCAAGTGGCTCCCTGCAAGTTGCTCTGTGCAAATTGCTTCGTGCAAGTTGCTCCCTGCAAGTTGCTCTGTGCAAGCTGCTCTGTGCAAGTTGCTCTGTGCAAGTTGCTCTGCGTAAGTTGCTCTGCGCAAGTTGCTCTAGGCAAGGCGCTCTGCGCAAACTGGTCGGTGCAAGTTGGTCTGCGCAAGTTGTTCTGTGCAACTTGCTCTGCGCAAGTTGCTCTGCGCAAGTTGCTTTATGCAAGTTGCATCTTGCGACGCCCGCCCACGGACCAGGGAGGAATCGAACCCGCGACCCGCCGGTCCCGGGAGCAGGCGCGAACCACGAGACAACTCCCGAGGACCAGTTCGAACAACAAAAGTCGCAAAAAACCTCGAGTTTTTGCACCTCGACCACGCCGATTCCCGCAGAGGGTTGCGCGAGCACCGCAGAAATCGCAAAAACAACTCGAGCTTTTGCACCTCGACCACGCCGATCCCCGCAGAGGGTCGCGCGGGATCTTTAGAAATCGCAAAAAACCTCGAGTGTTTGCACCTCAACCACGCCGATCCCCGCAGAGGGTCGCGCGGGAATTTTAGAAATCGCAAAAAAGCTCGAGTTTTTGCACCTCGACCACGCCGATCCCCGCAGAGGGTCGCGCGAGCATGTTAAAAATCGCAAAAAACAACTCGAGTTTTTGCACCTTGACCACGCCGATCTCCGCAGAGGGTCGGTTTTCGTGTAGTGTCGTCGGCACTACCCCGCCGCCCTAAGAAGAGATTTTAACTCCTCGCAAGTCAATTGCACTTGACTCCTTGCACTTGCAACTTGCACAACTTGCACTTTGACTCCTTGCACTTGCAACTTGCACTTGACTCCATGCACTTGCAACTTGCACTTGACTCCATGCACTTGCAACTTGCACTTGACTCCATGCACTTGGCTCCTTGCACTTGGCTCCTTGCACTTGGCTCCTTGCACTTGCAACTTGCACTTAACTCCGTGCACTTGCAACTTGCACTTGACTCCATGCACTTGGCTCCTTGCAACTTGCAATGACTCTCATGACTCCTTGCAATGACTCCTTGCAATGACTCCTTGCAATGACTCCTTGCAATGACTCCTTGCAATGACTCCTTGCAATGACTCCTTGCAATGACTCCTTGCAATGACTCCTTGCAATGACTCCTTGCAATGACTCCTTGCAATGACTCCTTGCAATGACTCCTTGCAATGACTCCTTGCAATGACTCCTTGCAATGAATGGACTCCTTGCAATGACTCCTTGCAATGACTCCTTGCAATGACTCCTTGCAATGACTCCTTGCAATGACTCCTTGCAATGACTCCTTGCAATGACTCCTTGCAATGACTCCTTGCAATGACTCCTTGCAATGACTCCTTGCAATGACTCCTTGCAATGACTCCTTGCAATGACTCCTTGCAATGACTCCTTGCAATGACTTTCATGATGATGATTCCTTGCAATGACACCTTGTAATGACTCTCATGAGAACAACTCAAGTGAACCCAGCGGAAGAACCCTTCGCCATGCTTTCGGGAAAAAGCAACCACCTACCCTTAGAGTGAAGCAAAGCCAACAGCGGCCGAGAGGGGGATGTTGCAAGTGGGGGGTTTTGCCCATTTCAATCTTGCATTTTGCTCGCTTTCTGGGCAGTTGCACTTCAAGTCATTGCAACATTGTCCTTGTGCTCAGCTTCTGCTATTCTGCACGCGGTGGCGTTTCGAAAGGACCCTTGATGCATTGTTTTCTTCTTGGAAGACTGGTTCGGCACAGACTTGCCAAAGCTACAACAGTTTGCAAGTTCGCATCCATCGAGGCTGTTGATCCAAGTGCAGCTTGAGACCTTCGATGTCTTGCAAGTGGGCAATCAGCTTCGGGTACCGGAACACATGGCAAAACGCCAGAGGAATGCGCAGTGTCCGTCGCATGATTTCTGCTTGGTGTACTGGGCATCTCCAGCGCTCCCGTTGTTCGCAGGACTTGACCTACCTGCGGGAGCTGGCGGACTCAGCTGTGGAGGACTTTGAGCTCGTGGACTTCTCGGAGCAGCGCTGGGGCCCAGCCAGGCTGGGGGCAGATCCAGCGACCAACCGCACCTCGAGCAATTCATGCCAGGCTGAGCGTACCTTTTGACCTTGTCGATGTTTGACTTTTGCCGTTTTCCCCAAGTATTGCATAGTCAACGCTAACGGCAGGGACATGTTATTTACGGCACGAGTGAGTTCGCGCGCGAAAACGCGGCAGTAACCGCAAGCAGTTGGCTTTGATGCGACCTGGGGGTGATGATGGCTCTTGAAAGAGGCGCCTTCAATGCTTCAAATCTTAGGAGGGCTGCTTTTTGGACAGCGCTGTGTCAACAGAATCAAAAAGGTAGCACGGGAATCATGCCCCCCCCCCCCCCCCCGCCCGCCAACCCTGGGTTGGCATCCATCTGTTGACCAGTCAGTTTCCAGCACTGTTGGTTGGGGGCCACGTTTCGAAGGGCATTTGTTTGACACTAGTGTTTGATTTTTTGTCGCCCGTTTTGAGGTTCAGATCTGAGGTGGCAAGTGGGGTCACGTGCATGTGTCAAACAAAGCATTGAAAGATGCTTTGGCAAGGCAAATTGAATCTTGGTTTCATGACCATGCGCATCCAAGGAGCCTTCTCGAACATCCCTTTGATTTCCCGGCAGTCAAGAGGTCCAACTTTCATTCCCATGGCCACTGGGCAAAGAGTCCCAGATGGACGCACCACCAGTTGGATGTTCATTGGTTGGTCAGAACTCGAGCACGCCGGAGGTCATGGGCAGCTATGGTGTGAGAAAGTAAGCCCGCTTCACTTCAGACCTGCCTCCAATTCAGTGCACCCTAAGGCATGGTGCAGCTGTACCAGAGCTTGAACGAGAGTGGGACTGTGTACGTGCGACTCGGCCTGGGCCCAATGCTTTGAGAGCAGGGGATGGAGGTAGTGAAAGACTCCAATGATGGTTCTTTGCAGTCACACATGTAGGTTGTGAGAAGGGTAATCAGTATCCAACTGTAAACATAGGTGTGCGCGGTGGCTTGGGCGATTTTATCATGCGCTACTTGTCATGCACGCTGTGGCCCTTTGTGCAGGAAGGTGGACGACGACGTGGTGTATGTTGCAGAGCATGCAATTGCCAACCTGGTGCGAGAACGACTACGGCAGCGATGCTTGTTTGTTTCTGCGAACGTGGCTTGCTTGCAAATGTTGAGCTTGCGATGCGGAGGTGGTCGGTTCAATGATGATCAGGCTGACTTGCTTGCACCAACTGGCATGCGAGCATCAGTGATTCTTTGGCTTGAACATAATCATCGATTGCGTCCGCCCCCCTCTCTGCCTGCACCTTTGCAGTTGTCCCTTGCTTCTGTCCTTGGAGTCGAGGCTAGCGAGGGCTAGCTCACGATTGCTTCAATAAAGCCCGAGGCTCTGTACTGATTTAGCTTTGATTCACTTGGCGGATCCCGTTTGCCGAATGTTCTTCCGTCCACGCCCCCCCCCCCCCGACCTCCCACGTGAACGGCTCGCTACTCCGGCATCTTTTGAGAAGCCGTGCGGCACCTCCGAGGTTGTGAACCATGCCATCATGTCAGCACCTTGGAATGCATTGCTTCCAAGGCGGAGTCAAGCCGAGGCATGCAGCGGATCAGGCCGATCCTTGCTTTCGGTTGATTGAGTAGGTATATTATGCATCTTGTAAGGTGCAAACATACAAACATATATTATACATATTCAGTATGTAATTGCACACATGTGTTTATTTGATCCTTTGTTGGCTTTCTTGATATGTTGGTTGGCTTGTTTGTTCCGGCTCGGATCCGGTGAAGAAGTGTTGGCTGCATCAAACACGACTCTAATCTGCCTGATTCGGGCAAGGATGGTAAAGAGCCCAGCTTATGCTTGGACTCCGTCCAGGTTTGAGTTGGAGTAACGGCCATAATGTTAACCCCAGATGAATCAACCTTCCCCCGAAGGTTCACTCTAGACTGTAGAATTGTACGCCACTGGCCTTTCATCAACCAGCCTTGGTGTTTCATGGTGGTGTATAGTGCCTATGCGGCACAGGTGAGCTTGCATCGGGTTCTGCTCCACAGCCCATGATTTGCCTTACGACCAGCTCAGAAACACTTTGATAGACAGCCCCCCAAAGCGGGACACTCCGGACGGAAGTAGTTCGTCCAGGAACAGTTCCCAGTTGTGAACCATTTACACAACTGCGTGATTTTTCGATATTGGGATTGGGTGGTCCGACACATGTGAAGTGTTGTTTTTTGTTTAATGGCGCTCCTCGCCTGTCCTGTGAATGGGCCCGTCATTTACACCAATGTGATGCGCTACAACCGAGTGCAGCAATATGTTTGCCTCCCCTCCCGATCTTTGAGGAAGCAATAGGTAGTGTAGGAAATCACCCTGACGTGTTTATGGTGTCTATGCAGGGCATGTGCTTGACTTTATTGGCCCAGTGGCCGATCTTGAACTGGCTTCCCGGCTTCCCTTCTGTTTACTCAAGCGCCAAACTGCTCGCCGGCGAGCATCAGAGCGGGAATGATGATGAGACACTACGAGTCATGGGGAAGACAACCTGAACTGTACTCTGGTGGCAAACGTTGGAGGGCTGGGGTGTGTGTTGACGTTAGTTTGCATTTTTAAGGTTCGCTAAATATGGACCAGAATCAAACAAATATGGGAGGAGTAGCAGCAGAGGCGCAGTAGCTGGGAAGCCCACCAAATCCCAAGAAGGTTTGCTGGTCAACTGATCCAGGCAGTTCATCAAGATCGCGGCGCTCATCGAGCCTTCTTCCCCCCTGCGAGGCAGCGGAAGAACCCCTCCCTGCGGTTGCCGTGGAAGAAGTTGGGCGCTTCTTGGCAAAGGCGATGTGTCATGCCAGGGGCAAGGTAGCGCAACGACTCCATGATGATGATAGGTTTGGTTTTCTGCTGAGTTTCGCTTGGGACCGCGAACTGACAAGCTAGTCTCTGTTGCGTTTTTTGTCACTTTTGCTTGCGGGTTTGAACCGCTGGCTGTCTAAACTCCTGGCTGAATGGACTTGAGGGGCCGCCATGACCCCCCCCTGGCATTGAAAGTAGCAACTCAAGCCACCAATCCTTGGTAAGCTGAGGAGATCAACATGTCGCCCGACTTTACCATCGAGCGTGCCTTTGACTGCAAGCGCTGTCCGCGCGGAAGGGAATGCGCTATTCGTTCGGTTGTTTTGCGGAGCCAGGCAGCACTCTCATGCTGTTCTAGAACAACGTGAAAGGGAGGAAACTTGTTTGACTCACAGTGCCCTAATTTCAGGTTGCGATCTGAGCCCCTAAGCCTACCAATCCAAGGTGTTGGGCCAACCAACTTGCCAAAGAGGACGCTTGTGAATGTTTGTGCGTTTCATTTGGTAGAACCATTCTGGCAGTCAAAAGGAAAGCAAACGTTTCAGGCAAATATTGGGCACTTTCAATGTAGGGTGCAATTAGGGCTCTCTTTTCCCATGTTTGGAAACAACCTTTTGATCCTCGCTCTCAATAGAACCGCAGGCTTTCCCGCCTCCCGCTGCGTGGTGGAGCGCTGGGACTGCGCCGCGCTGGTGCACGAGAGCCTTTTGGTTTGGAGAGTTTGTTCCCAGCTGGGAAAGCATTCCTCATACGTCCAGTACCTCACCTAATGGAACTCTCTCGCTTTAATTTAAAAGAAAAGTCGCCTCAAACAGTGCTGGAAAATACGTTTCTATCGGCTTGCCTTTGATGCCAGGCTACCAAAAACGAACAAGGTTTGCTAGCAACATCCCTAGTCGAGTCCATTCAGCAGTACCATGGGTGGCCTCTGGTGCAAGAGCTAGAAAAGCAGCTGCCGTGCAAACCATGTGGACCAGCCGGTGGTTGGCACGAGGGTTGGGCCCCCTTGCTCCCTTTTTTGCTTTTTGGCTGGCTGCCCAGCTCACATTCTTGTTCCCTTCAGGGCTTTCCTTTGTTTGTTGGAAGCTCCTTTTGGTTGGTGATGAAAAGGAAGCTTAAAACATCTTAAAACTAAGTTTAAAAGGAATCCTTAGGATGTCATGTATATCCCGTTTTTGGCATGCTGAAGCCTTTGGTTCGAGGCTTCTTGGACCGAGCCGCTGACGGCACCTGGACTCTCGGCAGAGGTTTCGGGGTTCGGCGCCAAGCCCGAACCTCGCTGCCAAGCAACCGCAAGGGTAGAACAACATTCGGAGTGCATCGTGTTGTTTTAACATTTCCCATGCAGTTGTGCTATTCTTGCAAAGGCCGTTTTGGGGCAAGCCCGAAACAGGGTGGTTTCCCTTTAATGGCCTTCACGGAGACTCCACAGAGGGCGCCCACAAGAAAAAGACATACCCAAATGGCCCACGACATCCCATGAATTCTTGGCATGCTTGTAAATCAGCAAACGAAGCGCATCAGGGGTGCTGAACGAATCAAGTGTTTTAGCACGGGCAGCTCCTCTTTGCAATAGCCTCTTTGCACATTGGTGTGAAAGAGGAAGCCGGGAGGAAGCAGCAAGGCAATTTCGCATGAGCGGGGTCCGCCAACACGCGTAGACACCGAGCTCTAAACATTGGGCGGCGTGGCCACGAGTAGAACTGCGTGCAGGTGCATCTTTGACTTCGGTTGGCTTGATTTCAACCGCGCTGGCTACAGAGAGCACAAGCTACTTGCCATGCACTTTACGCAGAACATTATCTTTTCATATCAGCCCTTTCACGCTCAGATGGGTAAAGTCCAGCAGACAAGGCAGATTGCAGTCAGGTACATCCACAGGAGCCCCAGTGTCAACAAGGACTACTGGACGCAGGGGGCCCGTTGGAGCACCAATTTCTTCGCGTTCATGGCCGAAGACCTCGAGGGCGTGAACTGGAACAACGTGTAACTGGGGCAGAACTCAAGTTTCGTGCATGCCCCGGAGCCAGGGACAAGCTGAGAACATGTTTGTTGTACCCACTATATCACAAGAAACAATTGAACCACACATCAACTTTGAGCGTTATATACTATGACAGTTACGTACTACATCATTGCTACAAGTTGAGCCACGAGTCAGGTATGGTAAGGGAGATGATGAGGAGGAGTTTACAGGGCCCCACGCCGAGCGAAGAGACGCCCGGCCATGGGGCTAATGGGTCTGAGTGCCAGGTTTTTCCCCGGTGTTCCCCCTTTCTTTTCGTGATTGCAAGATGACCTCTTTCATTTGTGGACTTGAGTGTCCTTCAGGCTTGCCCTTCAACTACGTCCCAAACTGAAGAACCCTTTGCCCAAATTGTTCCAAAAGCAGGCGGCAAACGACCACCCTGAGCCGCGTTAGTTGTTTGTAGATGGCAGTTTGATGACTGGTATGTGCATGAATGGCCTGTTGCTACGTTACACACATGGAAGACTTGCTTCGGGGTGTATCCATATTATGGGATAATGCGAGGTCGCGTTGTTCAGCGAGCTCAGGGGGATGAACTGCAGTAGTGGCCGTCCACATCGGGTTGAATGCGTCTTCTCGTGGCATGTGGGTGTTTCGGTTGGTTTTGCTGCAGACAGATAAATATAGGGGATGTTGAGCAGCCAAGCCTGATAGACGTGATCATGGACATGCACAAAAACATGCCAGAGCGCGTAAGGTTGTCAGTGGAAGGACCTGACTCCTGAACATGACCGCTCTGATGTTCAGTCGCATGTTGAAGAGCAAGCGGCGCGGTTGGATTTGTGATGGGCATCCCTTTGATTGAGGCAATGCGGCAATGCCTTAGCAAAACATCCAAGCAGTGTCCCGGCTTCAGGGATGAGGGTAGAGATGCTCTCGCTTGGGAAGAGGAGGCGTGCAGCTTTTCCTTTGATTTGTGCGTTTTTAGGACCGGCATTCCTGCGCAGTGGGCTCGGCGCTGGTGGTCCACTTCTCCTATGGCTCCCAGGACGGCTATAGTTTCGGCCCTTTTGAAACACACGGTTTCCAGGCCGAACAAAACAGTTGGCTACTTTGGGCATGGACTGCGTGGGGAAAAATCACGACTTCAACAACCCTGCTCACAGAATTATCGAAGGGGCAATTTAGAATGGGCCCTCCGACTGCTGGCAAAGAGGCTGGCTGGAGGCATCTCAGAGAGTGGAGAAGGCCATGCCCGCATTTGTGAGGAGGAAGGGCTCATGTCCTACACCAACTTGCCCCGGCCTTACTCTTTAGACTCACTCCAAAAAACTGCACAGAGAATTACGTCCATTGCCAGTCTTTTGCGACGTGTCGTACTTGGCTAAAAGGACGGACAGTATGCTCCCCCGAGCTGACACCTTGGCCACGCTTGGAAAGAACTTATAGCCATTGAACGTGTGCAAGAAATATGACGCTTGTGTTTGGCCAACTGCCGCATGTTGACAAGACCCCAAGACCCCGTGCTAGACCCCAGTGTCATTCTAGTGCCCAGATTTGCATGGACAAGCAATAGCACATGGGGGTATGAAGATGACCTTTTGCCAATCGTTTGGTGCACAGAATCCTTTTCCAAGGTAAGTAACTCCTTTTTTAGTAGAGGGTCAGACTCCCGAACCCGACCAAAACGCAGGTGATCCGGACCGATCCAGACGTCCGGGTCAGCCATAGCCATTGGTCTCCATCGTGTCAGCCTCAGGTTGAAGCGGTACGACAAGCTCTCACGACGTCTCACGAAGGCACCTTGGCAGATGACTGCCGCAGGAAGGGTGCTTAGAGGTTCATTCAAGGCAGGCTGTGTGTGCGTAGGTGACAAAGCCATGGCACAAGGAGAGGGCCGACCTTTGTTGTCACCAATTGATTTTGCGGGGCAGGCTTCCCAGTAAGGTCTCTAGATTTAGCATGCGCTGAGGATGCTCCCTATGAACTAGTGCCCAAGTCCGAATGCTTAGGCACTTGAGGCTTAGCCATTCCCACAGGACAGGATGTTCAAAATCATGAGCTCATACTGGAAGCTGACACCTGCACGAGGTTCCGAAGATGTCCGGTGCAGGAGGCGTTCAGAGAGCAGGAAAAGAGAGCGCTTGAAGTGGAATTCCCTTCCGTTTGCACGACGTACGGCAGACACACTGCCAGGCGCATTACTCCATTGGCTCTTTGATTGATTTTGCTCTGACACAGCAAGCAGTCCACCGAGCTATCTATCAATCTTCGGCCACCGGTTGCTTTGCATTGATTTGCTCAGCCGGCTTCGCGCACATCGCCTCAAGGCTTACAGCCGTAGGCCAATGCTCAATGATCAGTGCAAGCCCAGATGCCCATGCTAGATCCAGCGGGCATAAGTGCAGTGTTTTGGAATGAACACGGAGCTTCCGAAAGGCGGCATCCATAAAGACGAAGCTCCTTGAGAGTTCCTGCTTTCAGACGCGGAGCAGAACTTTCTGCGTTTGAATCAATTGTGGGTCCAGACAGGGCAGTCCAGCGCTCCAAGCTTGGCAAGGGCACGGCTTTTACCGAACACTTGCAGCAGTCCTGCAATAGCAGCTTTGGTGTTTTTAGTGGGGGGGGGTCCCCTCGGCCTAGAGCCCCTTTTGTTTGGCGGCCATCTTTCATGGGTTTGCCCAGAAACATAACACAATCCATTCTCCGCGGGCGCCCGTGGAAGATTCACAGGGCTGGCCAAATCCTAGCGGGATTCATGTCTCACATCAGACTTGCCTAGATGTGGCTTTGTCTCGTCAAGTTGTTGGAGAACAGGTGGAATCCCAGACAGGTCTGTGCATTCACTTGCGGCTTTCGTCAATGTCCAGCTGCCGAAAGTTGGCCCCAGCGGCCTTGGCGCTTGCCGCGCGGCAAGGGGATCTGAAGATACCCAGTCCAGTGGCACCCTTCGTAGAACCTGGAGTTTGAGGACTCCTTGCCTGTGATACCAGAGGAATCTAGTGGGAATGATGCATATCGGTGAGGAGATTTCCCGCAACCGTGGGCGCCCTTACCCTCCCCAAGCTTACAGGAAGAAGTGGGAAGGCAGCCCTGTTTCTGCCAGACTACGAAAGGTCAGAACAAAATATAATGCTTTGATGAATGTCAGCTAACAAACATTGGAGGGACGCAGTTAGTGGGACACACATATATATATATATATATGTGTATATATATATATATTTATATGTGTATGCATTTCCGCCAGAAGCAAAACAGGAGGACAAGCCCATGCCCATTGGCAAATTGCATGCAGGGGTAGACAAGAGCAAAGAGCCCTTTGGGGACCATGGCGGCATGACATGCCGCGTTTGAAGGGGGTCCCCAATGAGGGTCACCATTCTGCTTTAAAGCGCCAACTTGAGTTACTTCCTGCAACGTGGGTGCTGCTCCTGCTTCGGAGCAGGACTGATAGTGCTTCCAAAACAAATCCACATTAGCTGGAAGCATGAAGCGACGGCTTTCCATCCGTGAGCCGAGTTCTGCGGAATACCTTTCGGCCGAGTGGGTAGTCAATTTCCTGCATGCACCGCATGCAACCATGTTTGTCTCTAAGATGGCGTGTGCTACCAACCACTGCCTCAATACTTTTGTGCATTGGTTTAACAAGTTAGCAGCGACTATGAATTTCTTTTTGTTGGGTAGTGGAAACCCTCTTACGGCTGTCTGCGGCTATTGCTCAGGCGCTGATTTGGCAAGGCGGGCCTGACGGGCTCGCGGTTATGGGGATGACTGCCTGGCCATTTGCTCCCTGTAGCCCCAGTGGCTTTGAGGTCACCTGTGCAAATTCTGAGCCATTGCCTCCTGCAATTGGAGGTCAGGTCTCCGGCGGTTTCCAGTCTGAAGGGGATGCGAACCTTATGGCGGGATTGTCAGTGCCCCCGCAGCAAGAAAAGCTCGATAGCTAACGGAGGACAACCCTTTGTGCTTCTACCTCTCCATACCGCTGTGCTTTGGTCACTCCGATATGCAACGCTGGGTGCTTCAACAACGTGGATAAGAAGCAAAGTCCTGCAGCGGCAATGGCATGATGTCATGGGCTGTGAAGGTTGTTGAGCGAGCACACCATGTTTGCAGCATATGCGCGTTGTATACATGTATGGTGTACAAATATGTGTATAGAGATGTAGATGTAGGTATGAATAATGCATTTGTATTTGCATACATATGGAATGCAAAAACAATATGCAGGCTTACAAGTAAATATATGGAGATCTACGCATACATTCAAAACAATCTGAGAGCTCACGCAGAAAAGTGCCCCGATTGTTTTTTTTACCAGTTCCCAGTCATTTGAAACCTGCAAGGAAGGGGAAGAAGCGGTACGAAAGAACAAGCCGCCATTGGCAGAATACAAACTCTGGCTCTGCCATCTACTATCTCGTTCATGTCATAGTTTTCAGCGTTCTGCTAGGCAGATCAGAGCAGTGCCGCAAAGCGAACAACATGTTGCTTGCATATGTGTAAAAAAACAATACATATATATATATATATATGTATGTAATATCATTTCATGTGACATAGCTTTAGAAGTTCTCGGGGTTGTACCCCCCGCAAGTCTTTGCCAGCGCCAGGCATACGATTCCTCTCATGGCCACGGCACGCTGGGCGGCTCGGCAAACCGGAGCAAAGATGAGGGTTGACATTGAGCAAGCCCTTCAGGGTTTATCCAAGGCCGCCCCGCCCCAGCCCCGGGTGGCCTATTTTTCCGCTTTGGAGTTAGAGCCCAAGGACCCCTCCATGCTGGGTTGTTAACATCGGGTGATGCAAAGCCCGGCATGCCTGGGAAATGCGCGGGTGATGCCGTGGCAAAGGGGCCGGCATGCCTCCTTTGCCACCCGCATCATTCCAGGATTTCCCAGGCTGTGATCCCTGCAGGTTGTCAACCTGCAGGCATGCCGGCCCCTTTGCCACGGCATCACCCGCATCATTCCAGGATTTCCCAGGCAGTGATCTCTGCAGGTTGTCAACCTGCAGGCATGCCGGCCCCTTTGCCACGGCATCACCCGCATCATTCTAGGATTTCCCAGGCTGTGATCCCTGCAGGTTGTCAACCTGTTTGCCACGGCATCACCCGCATCATTCCAGGATTTTCCAGGCTGTGATCCCTGCAGGTTGTCAACCTGCAGGCATTGTCAATTTGCAGGCATGCCGGCCCCTTTGCCACGGCATCACTCGCATCATTCCAGGATTTTCCAGGCTGTGATCCCTGCAGGTTGTCAACCTGCAGGCATGCCGGCCCCTTTGCCACGGCATCACCCGCATCATTCCAGGATTTCCCAGGCTGTGATCCCTGCAGGTTGTCAACCTGCAGGCATGCCGGCCCCTTTGCCACGGCATCACCCGCATCATTCCAGGATTTCCCAGGCTGTGATCTCTGCAGGTTGTCAACCTGCAGGCATGCCGGCCCCTTTGCCACGGCATCACCCGCATCATTCCAGGATTTCCCAGGCTGTTATTGCAGGTTGTCAACCTGCAGGCATGCCGGCCCCGTTGCCACGGCATCACCCGCATCATTCCAGGATTTCCCAGGCTGTGATCCCTGCAGGTTGTCAACCTGCAGGCATGCCGGCCCCTTTGCCACGGCATCACCCGCATCATTCCAGGATTTCCCAGGCTGTGATCCCTGCAGGTTGTCAACCTGCAGGCATGCCGGCCCCTTTGCCACGGCATCACCCGCATCATTCCAGGATTTTCCCAGGCTGTGATCCCTGCAGGTTGTCAACCTGCAGGCATGCCGGCCCCTTTGCCACCGCATCATTCCAGGATTTTCCAGGGCTGTGATCCCTGCAGGTTGTCAACCTGCAGGCATGCCGGCCCCGTTGCCACGGCATCACCCGCATCATTCCAGGCTTTCCCAGGCTGTGATCCCTGCAGGTTGTCAACCTGCAGGCATGCCGGCCCCTTTGCCAGGGCATCACCCGCATCATTCCAAGATTTGCCAGGCTGTGATCCCTGCAGGTTGTGAACCTGCAGGCATGCCGGCCCCTTTGCCACGGCATCACCCGCATCATTCCAGGATTTCCCAGGCTGTGGCACGCCGGCCCCTTTGCCAGGGCATCACCCGCATCATTCCAGGATTTCCCAGGCTGTGATCCCTGCAAGTTGTTCATGCCGGCCCCCTTGCCACGGCATCACCCGCATCATTCCAGGATTTGCCAGGCTGTGATCCCTGCAGGTTGTCAACCTGCAGGCATGCCGCCCCCTTTGCCACGGCATCGCCCGCATCATTCCAGGATTTTTCAGGCTGTAATCCCTGCAGGTTGTCAACCTGCAGGCATGCCGGCCCCTTTGCCACGGCATCGCCCGCATCATTGCAGGATTTTCCAGGCTGTGATCCCTGCAGGTTGTCAACCTGCAGGCATGCCGGCCCCGTTGCCACGGCATCACCCGCATCATTCCAGGATTTCCCAGGCTGTGATCCCTGCAGGTTGTCAACCTGCAGGCATGCCGGCCCCTTTGCCACGGCATCACCCGCATCATTCCAGGATTTTCCAGGCTGTGATCCCTGCAGGTTGAACTTGCAGGCATGCCGGCCCCGTTGCCACGGCATCACCCGCATCATTCCAGGATTTCCCAGGCTGTGATCCCTGCAGGTTGTCAACCTGCAGGCATGCCGCCCCCTTTCCCACGGCATCACCCGCATCATTCCAGGATTTTCCAGGCTGTGATCCCTGCAGGTTGTCAACCTGCAGGCATGCCGGCCCCTTTGCCACCGCATCATTCCAGGATTTTCCAGGGCTGTGATCCCTGCAGGTTGTCAACCTGCAGGCATGCCGGCCCCGTTGCCACGGCATCACCCGCATCATTCCAGGCTTTCCCAGGCTGTGATCCCTGCAGGTTGTCAACCTGCAGGCATGCCGGCCCCTTTGCCAGGGCATCACCCGCATCATTCCAAGATTTGCCAGGCTGTGATCTCTGCAGGTTGTCAACCTGCAGGCATGCCGGCCCCTTTGCCACGGCATCACCCGCATCATTCCAGGATTTCCCAGGCTGTGATCCCTGCAGGTTGTCAACCTGCAGGCATGCCGGCCCCTTTGCCACGGCATCACCCGCATCATTCCAGGATTTTCCAGGCTGTGATCCCTGCAGGTTGTCAACCTGCAGGCATGCCGGCCCCTTTGCCACGGCATCACCCGCATCATTCCAGGATTTCCCAGGCTGTGATCCCTGCAGGTTGTCAACCTGCAGGCATGCCGGCCCCTTTGCCACGGCATCACCTGCATCATTCCAGGATTTCCCAGGCTGTGAGGCAGGTTGCAACCTGCAGGCATGCCGGCCCCGTTTGCATCACAGGATTTTCCAGGCTGTGATCCCTGCAGGTTTCAACCTGCAGGCATGCCGCCCCTTTGCCACGGCATCACTCGCATCATTCCAGGATTTCCAGGCTGTGATCCCTGCAGGTTGTCAACCTGCAGGCATGCCGCCCCCTTTGCCACGGCATCACCCGCATCATTCCAGGATTTTCCAGGCTGTGATCCCTGCAGGTTGTCAACCTGCAGGCATGCCGGCCCCTTTGCCACGGCATCACCCGCATCATTCCAGGATTTCCCAGGCTGTGATCCCTGCAGGTTGTCAACCTGCAGGCATGCCGGCCCCTTTGCCACGGCATCACCCGCATCATTCCAGGATTTTCCAGGCTGTGATCCCTGCAGGTTGTCAACCTGCAGGCATGCCGGCCCCGTTGCTACGGCATCACCCGCATCATTGCAGGATTTTCCAGGCTGTGATCCCTGCAGGTTGAACCTGCAGGCATGCCGGCCCCTTTGCCACGGCATCACCTGCATCATTCCAGGATTTCCCAGGCTGTGATCCCTGCAGGTTGTCAACCTGCAGGCATGCCGCCCCCTTTGCCACGGCATCACCCGCATCATTCCAGGATTTTCCAGGCTGTGATCCCTGCAGGTTGTCAACCTGCAGGCATGCCGGCCCCGTTGCCACGGCATCACCCGCATCATTCCAGGATTTCCCAGGCTGCGATCCCTGCAGGTTGTCAACCTGCAGGCATGCCGGCCCCTTTGCCAGGGCATCACCCGCATCATTCCAAGATTTGCCAGGGTGTGATGCCCTTCGTCGTTGCTCTCCCTAGCCCACGGAGTCTTGAAACGTTGCTTTTGAGTACTTTTAACGCTCCCCCCCCCCGTTTTTACATTCCGACATATGCTTGATGAGCTTCCTGAGTCTTTGGGGTAGCTGCATGTTGGACGAACCCTACTTGTCCAGGGACTGATTCTTCAAAGGTTACACGCCTCCACATAGGGGCCTCAGAGGACCCACATGGTTCGCCAGGGCAAAGGCGGTGAATTCCGTGGTGCTGGTCCGCGCCATGGACCTGTGGCGCCCCTGGGCACGGACCCACGGAAGTGGCTTCCTGTGGGAGGGTGGCCTCATCGTGCCCGCCTCGGATTTCGAGGAAAGAAGCAAACATTGCCCGCTGCGAGAGGAGTGACTGTTTCCGGGTGCTGGGAAAGAACCGGAAGGGGATTCCCTTCAAGGAAGCAAGAAGACATTTTCTGCAACAACCCTTAAGTACATGTTTGGGGCTTCGCAAGTGGTCTACCTGCCTCTTTTGACATCATTGCACATTTGCAAGCAGAAGGAGAGTCCTGACAGAGACATATATGTGTTCAAAACAGAAAAAGGAGCAGAGCAAAACACCGAACACATGTGAAAAGACACAGCTGGACAAAAAAAGCACAACAGCAACACGAGTCCCGGCAATTCCAAGCACGTTTCTTTCAATCAAGCATGCGCACAAGAGGGGTTGTCAAAAATGCGTGTAAGGATGCTTACAAGCGGACGCAAGTAAATCATATCCTATTATGTGCTTTAGTTTGCCTTTCAAGGCTGCACGCGCCAGGATTTCGTGAACCCCACGGGTGGCGCAAGGAAAACCGCTAGCTTTGTGCTAGACTTTGTTCAGCTTCCATGATGCCCATGACTGAATTCTCAACGGTTGATGCAGCCGTCCGGTAGAAGTTGTGTTGCAGGTCCAGTCTGCAGCTGCCAAGTGGTGCACTTAAAGTATACTACACTTGTACTGAAAAGTTGCGATTAAACAACTCACAAGCCGCAAGCAGGCAAGGAATGACTCGGCACAGTTACAAAGCCGGCAAGCAGCTTGCGTAGGCATCCGCGTAGGCAAGGAAGACGCAAATACGCGCGTAGGCAACTCTTGCAGTCGCGGAGGCTTTGCGTAGGCACTCGCGCAGGCGTGTGTGCAGTGTATACGCCCCGAGCACCCACAAAACACTCGCCTTTTGAAGGGAGCAGCGGCATGCCCAGGGCGAAATTCCTGAACTTCTGATTTGTCATTTGTTTGTTGCATCTGTTGCCCGATTTTGCCAGCCATATTTTTTCGCTAGAGACGCGCTAGGCTAGCAGAAGATGCACGTTTCGGGCACAAGCTTTCTGACGAACGCCCACAAACAAACATAACGTTCGGGATTTTCCCTTTGAGGTCACCAACAGCCACGTGGTCACGAAGAGCACGTTGGTCTCCGTGCACTTTTCGGACGGCAGCTCCTGCCGCGCTCGGACGCTGGCGCGCGCCAGCCGCTGTGACCTGGCGCTTCTGCGGCCAGTGACGGACAGCGCCACGGCGAAGGACAAGGATGATGTTAATTATTAGGGAATTTTTTATTGTGGGGTGGGTGGGTAGTCTTTGGAAAGCCCTTTCTGTTGTATCAGGGAAGCGGTCATTTCCCGCAGCCCTTTTTTGTGGTGAGCACAGGGGTGATTGAGCCATGGTAGAATCTGACTCAATATGGTAGCGCGCAGGACCCTGTCCCACTTACGATTGTTTCCAACAATCGCGGAAGTGGATAGGGTCCCCAAACGGGAAGTAGTCTGTTCAATACTTCCCTGCCAGCTCCCATGAACCTGCCAAAGTGTTTCTGGGGATTGTCCAACCCAAACCTGCGGGCGACCTTTGCCTTCCCTCGTGTCTGAGGACCCTTGTTTGTCCAAGCCCTAAACTTGCTTTGGTTGAACTAAATGCCGTCTTGTTGTTCATGGGCCCAGCCAACAGGTTGGGGTCTCTTGGCGGTCTGGCTTCCGTGCCATAGTCAGTCAGATTTTGTTTTTTAGCACCAGACCCGGAACAAGAAAGAACAAAACCCGATAGGTATTCCCAACACCGGCAAGACAGGACTCCCAGTTTTTCACTGCCATTGGCTGTGGTGCACTACATCAGGTTGTTTGCCAGGTTTGTTTTGACGGCATTCCCCGATTTCCTTTCTTCAAGTAAATGGACTCACTTGAATGAGTATGTCCCACTGACTCAGAGCGATATGCACCACGGACAACTTACAGCATGAAAAGGAAGGGTGACTCCGAGGCAAGGAATGCCGACTTGTTCAATGTTGATTCACAGAGCCAACTCACGCCGTTTTGAACGGAGAACTTCTGCGGACATGTGATGCGAGGGTTTATGACGCCATGTTTCGCCTGCGTGGCCCATGTTTTTTAACTCCGCCGGGGGGTTCTCCACGCGATTGTGTTCGTCAGATGTCTTTAAGCAGAACAGCTCTGGATGGGCGTTGGCGAAAAGAGTGGCATATGGTACATCAAAACACGGCCAATAAAGTCAGACAGGAAGGGTATGCCATCCTTCTGAACAAGCAAGCCCTGACACCGGAGGGCGCAGAATGGTTTGTCAACAAGGTGCCATGTTCCTTTCGCGGCCGCAGATGATGGGCAATCAACGGGCAGCTTTAAAATTGTGTTTCGGACCATTTCATTCAAAAGCCGCCAGTCGAAGATATACTGACAGGTTGCTCTAGTCCCAGCGGCGATTTCCAGCTTCCAAAACCGCCCGGGCCTCGCATTGGGGAGCTTTTGAAAGCTGGGGCGGCGGGCTTGCTTGAGACAAGTGGGAGGGGAAAAAGGTGGGAACCCTCTCTGATAGGCTGCGGGTCCAAAGCAATTTCCTGGTTGAGGCGCTTCTCAGGTTCCATGTTGGTGAGGGAGTATATTAGCTCAACAAGAGCCAGAAATTGAACCCACACCAATCCACAAATTCGTGATAGAGTGATTGATTTGTGCGGCACATCCTTCTCATTCAAACATGGGGCGTGCCAGGCTTTCTCTTTGGGTCGCATTTGGGGGATACGTTCCAGAATTCGGAGTCGCGCCTGCTCAAGCTGGAAGGCGCGAAAACCTCGAAAAGCCAAGTTAGCAGAATGGCTGGGGGTTCGTACACCATGCTTTACCATTCTCAGTTGGTGGCACCGGCAGATACAGAGAGGCCAATGCTATGCGTGTAAACTACGCATAAAACTGGCTCTTTTGTTTTGATGGGAAGCAAGCAAGTTCCAGGTCTGTTTGAAGGAAATCCAGCACCGCAGTGTTCTGCCGCAGCGAATTTGTAACTCTTCCGCCCCTCTTCCGTCGACTGTCTACAATTCTCATCATGGCCTTGAAGGCAGAGGACCCTCATAGTGAGAAGACTAAAATGTGATGATTACAAAAGCAACGGACACTGTAAATCCAGATATTTGTACAGCCCTGTTTCTTTGTTTGATCTCTTATCTCATTCTATCTTCATCCCTTACTCGCTTTAACCGCTCCAGATAGACGAGTGGAAGCAAGGGAGTGGTAAGAGGTGAAAAAAACGCCTCCCATGATGCACCAACTATATGATAGGCACGTATTTTGAGGCTTGCCGAACTCATGTTACATAATTACGTGTGTTGGTTGCTTGCGCTTCTACAAGGGGGGCTTTTCCAGCCTCCCAGTTGGTGGTTTGGGCTGATGCCTTTCCATTTTGTACACAAATTTAGAATCCCCAACACCGATCCAAACCACCCAAGAAAGATAGCAGTTTGCTTTATTGAGCCATCAAAGGTAAGACTCCCAACCACACCACCCCCAAACACATCTCCAGTTTGTTTTTGTGTGTGTTCGGAGAGGGTGGTTGAGTCATCCCGCATATCTGGCAGTTGCAGGGCGGCGCCTTTAAGAAGAAATTGGCATTCCAGGTGCCTTTCCGCAGCCCCGGCCAAGAAAAAAGAGTGGGGTGCGGGGGTGCTGGTAACTGTTTGCTTCCTTAGGTTGCGGCTTGCCCAGTCTTCGCCGCAGTTGGGGGATGAGGTTTATGCCATTGGCCATCCGGGAACCTGGGCATGGCACCTTGGAGCGGTTTTAGCTGCGGGCTACATGGGGGGATTCGGCATATGCCCTTATGGCAACTGGAAACGAACACCGAGCTCACCAGGCTGGCTCTTTACTTGAAGATCCGTTGCTTCGGGTTTTAGAATTGTTGTATTTGCAGATGGCCGTCATGCGGGTTTCTTTCTAAACATGGCTCCTCGCTGTGGGTGTCCGTTGAGTTGAGGTCAGTTTAGTCAACAGATGGCGCTGGTCCCATGTTGATTCAAATCAATAGTGAAACCCAAATGTCGGAAAGCCATTTCGTTTCCACTTGGTTCTATTTGGGTTCCCTTTGATTTATAAGTTGCTGTTTCCTTGGCATATTATCCCAAACCCAGGGCACCTCTCGGTTTGGGTCATATGGTTTTGCAGGGTTGCTTGGAAACAAATGCACGCATGAAGATGCAAGTGATGAATAAATGATGACTCATGCATGTTCCTGATCGCTTGCAGGTCTGTGGAACTCTTTAGGAAAGTCTGACCTTTGGCCTGACCTTTGGCCAGGTGCTGCGTTGGCATGAGGGGGAACGGAGGGAGCGGAGTTGGAGCCTTTGCAAGCGGTACTGGCTGGCTGGCTCAGGAAGGAGTTGGGCAAGTCGCTGCTTCACCGCTGGTACTCCCCCGCAGATGAACATGGAACCCCAAAATAGAGCCCCACAAGAGATTCCGATTCCTCTGAGCATGATGGTTTGTTGGCATCCATGTCAAGCTGAAGAGTTGCTACATGGTCAGAGTTTACGATTCTTTGCCACGTGCCCCACTCCACGCGGACCTTGCCCAGACTTCCTGCAGCCGCAGCATGTTGCATGATTGCTTTGTGGGGGTCCCCGGTTTTCCGTTGGCCATCCAAATGTTTCGTTCCTTGGTCTTAGACCTTGGGGGTAATTGGTGGTTTGGCCCTGGATTCGACCACGTCCTTTAAGCAAGCCAAAACCATTGCTAAATCCCCAAGCCCTAAGCAACCCCAAATTGCACTGATGTCAACCCGGAGGCCACCCAACAGCAGGCAGCAGCCTACGGCCGACCCAAACCGACCCAAGAACACCTACATTAAGCCACACAAGCAAGCTCGGGTAGCTAGTTGGAATTAGCTGGCTAGGTAGTTCCACAATTGAGTTTCTTTTTCGCTAGCCCTGATCTTTGCCACTTGGCATCTCTAGCCTCATTTGAAGCAGCATGATGCATATGAGTTTATGACATTTATTATGTACGCTGCTATTGTCTCTTTTCTTTTCTTTTCTTTTTGCATTTTTTTTTGGGGGGGGCCTTGAGAGCCTGCTAGACAATGCCTTCAGCTGACTAATTCGCTAGCAATTTGACCAGCTAGTTCACTGGCTAGCTGACTAGCCAGGAATGATCCAACTAACAAATATAGCAGCTAGCAGCCTGATACATTGTCTAGCCAGGTAGCTAGGACTGGCCCTGCCACGTAGCTCTCGACTGCCCCCACCCCCAACCCAGCCCCGAGCACGAACCGGAGTACTGCCTGCCCTTCGAATGCAACTCCAATGGTTCCCTCTGTGGATAAAAGTCAAATCATGCAGCAGGGGGTCCTCATGATTTCGACTTGGGTTGGGGGCATTGGCCAGAGCCAAGGTTAGTCGGTGTCGGCTCCGTCACCGGCCTTGGAAGACAAAGCTCTCGAGCCGTGCAGAAGTGGCAGGCACATGGACAGCTTGAAACGATTTCCAGCAAGTCGTGCTTGACAGTGCATGTCGGTGTTCCTCAAACAGGGACGCCAGAAAATGTTTTTTGAGTGGGCTTGGTTCCTGCAATGCCAACAAGGCGATCCACCGCAAAGACCTCAGAGGACTGAATAGGGCAGAGACAGGATAGATGACACACGCTAGAGGCTATGCATGCAACTACCTCCGCAACCTTATACATGACATGCAGCTACACAGTGTTGTGCAGCATGTTTCCAGATACACGGGTGTGTGCGTGAGCGTCTCTGTGTGGACAGAGTGTTTCTTCCATATGGTCACGTGGATATTTTCTAGATCATATTGGATTCAAACTAATTTGCTTTTGTTGTTCGCAAGCATGTGCAAACATTCCGTTTGGCAAAACGCTCCAAAGCATTGTGCGGCCCGCCGCTGCTCGCTTGGCCTGGTTGAGCAAGGCGATGTCCTTCGGATTCCTTCGGGCAATCAAGCGTGTGGGTGTACATTCATCAGAATTCTGACTTTGGCTTTCTTCGTGACGATAACAGGCTAGGCCGCGACGAGTGGTGATGAGAATGCAATTCCCTTAAGTCACGCTTCTTGGCCCCCAGTGTGTTTGTGTGAAGTGCAACTTTAGCAGTCGGCCCTTTGCCGCATCAGCATCCTGAATGCGTTGGGGTCAGGTTGCGACAGATGGATCCCCGCAGTTTCAGCTCAATGGTGGCACGTCGGAATGGGCTGTGGAGCAAGTGCCAGAGTGACGGCACCCACTTTATGCCCCTGAGACGGCCAGTTCTACGGCGTTTTTGTGGGTTTCCTTTCCATTTTCATTACACATAGGCACCCTTTCCCATGGGCCCGCTGTTACCTTTCGGGCCCCTGGATGCTGAGGTGTTCATCCGGCACCTCCGCCGGCTGATGCCTGCGGTGTGGTTTTCCCTTCCGGCGACCTTCAGGACGAACTGCAGAGCTGCTCCTCATGGTACCGTGGCGCCTCTGGCAGCATGCCGGGCCGATACGACCATGAGAGACACGTCAGGAAGTTGAACGCCTTCCTTCGGATTGTGCGCCGCCACCCAGGAGTCTTCCAAAACATGTGTGCAAAGGAGGAAAAGGAGGCCGACCAAGCTCGAGCCTCCTCTTAATCGGCCTGGCATCTAAGAAGTGCCAGGCTTATTTGAGCTCTCCAGGATACATGTTCGCACTTTTTGCCTTGGGGTTTTCTCCAATGACCTGGGAGCAGCACAGGCGTCATGTATCAGATTCCTTGCTTGTGATGCTCCCGAGTCAGGGCCTCGGCCTTCATTTGTACAAGCCCTCTGAGAGTTGAGTCCGTTTCACCCCCACATTTCGATTGAAGGTCCTAGGCAGATGGAGGGCCAAGTGATCCGCAAATTTCCGCTTTGCTTGCTACAGCTCGATGCCTCGGCCACTGGCATACTATTGGCCAAGGCTTTGTTCTTTAACCCGTGTCAGCCTTCAAAATGCTGGTGGTGCTAAAGCCAAGCGCTAGGACTGATCTAGGGCCTTCCAGACCTTTCCTCAGGGCCAGCCCTAACCACCTGGCACCCGTGAGGCGGATGCTCGATGTGTGCAGTTGGTCTTTAGGGGAAAGATGGAGTGAGCGGAGAATAGAGCATGTGTCACAACTAGGGACGACCCTTTGGGATGGCTTGAGCGTGGAATTAATATGATAACCGCGCGAGAGGTCCCCGTTTAGTCCAGCTGCAGCTTCCCGGATTGAAAGGAAGGCCCAGATGCAGATTCATATTCACCTGCGGCTGGGAAGCCGGGTGTTTCCTAGTTTTGGTCAGGCCTGAAATGTGAACAAATGATTCTTGTCCAATGACCCGAGTGCAGGGCAAGCTCTTGGCAACCAGCATGGATCACAATATCTTCAGATTCCTTGCTTGTGATGCTCCCGAGTCTCGGCCTCGGCCTTTCTCGCTTGTTTATCTATACAAACTCTCCGAGAGTTGAATTCCTCTCACCCTCACATTTCGAATGAAGGCCCTCTCTTTCATCGAAGGATAATGCATCGCTAGTTGGTACAGATAAGTAGATGCGACTGACGACAACCTTTCCGGGACTGGTGAACTCGCCCTGCCACGTCAGCCAGGCAGATGGAGGGTCAACTGTTCCGCAAGTTCCCGCTTTGCTTCCCACAGCTCGGTGCCTTGAATCATATTGAGACTTGGCGGCCACAGGCGTATTGGCTAAGGCTTTGTTCTTTAGCGCGTGTCAGCGGTAAGAATCCCAGAATGCCCGTGGTGCCAAAGCCAAGCGCAAGGACTGATCTAGGGCCTTCCAGACCTTTCCTCAGGGCCAGCCCTGGCCAGCTTTGACCCTGGCGCACGTGGGCTGATGCACGATATGTGCCGTTGGCCCCTGGGGGAACGATGGAGTGAGCAGAGAATAGAGCAGTGTCAAAACTAGGGACGACCTTAGGGATGGCTTGAGCGTGGAATCAACATTGAGAGGTCCCCAGTTTTCACATGCCGGCACCTACGATGCGCGCACCCGGTTGGTTGCAAAATCTGCAAGGCGCAACGCAGCGAGCATGCGAAGTTGGTGCGTGAATATCGCAACCGCGCCTCCAGAAAGAAGACAGCAGCTGACAGCCCCTTATGGCCCCTTGGAGGCTTCCGTGCTGCTTCGGGTTCCACAATTGTGTTTGAAAGAGCATATGGATTGTGATCGCAAGCTCTTCATGAAGCACTGTAACCACCCCAAAGCCAAGGGTAAAACTAAATACAGTTTCCACGGCCCACTCGCACTGTCAAGCTCGTGGAATCCGTATGTATATATATATATGTATAATTATATAACCACTCAGCGAGAGGTGTGATGCCATCCAGGGGTCCTGTAGCCCTGGGGCTACCAGGGGCCATCATGTTCAAAAGAAAAAAAACAAGGTATGTGTACATTCCCTTCCTCGGCGAGTATCTAAGGAGTGCTTTGATGTTTCCCTGCATGTGAGCCACATGAACAGGCGTGCAGCGCACGCTCCAGGAGTTCGCCCAAATGTTCTACGCTTGCAGCATGCCACGGTTTCCAATATTTCTTCTCTGATTCTAGACATCAGGTTTGGCGCGCGAATTGTAGCCTTTGATTAATCAGTCCTTAAGCTACCCCAGCACCCACCAAACAAATTGGTTTCGGATTAGGTACAGAAACTGGGGCTGCTTTAATAGGCCCCCCCCCCCTTGACCAGCCACCAGGCGTCTTTTGGTGAGATTTGGGGTGCTGGGTTCGACTTTCCTGCTAGTACTTGCTATAGTGTTGCCAATTCTAAATTTGGTATTGCCAAGACTTACCCTCTTCCCAGTGCTGGTGGAACCTGACAAGTAAACCACTCCTCCAGCCGGATTTTGGGGTCCCCTGAATCTCCCTCCGATTTATGCGAACCTGGCCGGTCCTCTCCGGTCCTTCCCTGTGTGGACCCCGTCTTGCCAATAGGACTGCAATAGGACTGCAATAGGAAAACATAAAGAATTTATATTTCTGGCTGGAGAAGGGGACTTGATTAATCAGAGAGGGCTTTGTGTTATTCGGGGGGGGCCTAGCCTTGAGGGGGCTACCCTTTCCGAGCTCGTAAAACCTTGTTTTTGTTTTAACAAGAAGTTTGCAGTTTCCTGCTAGCCATTTTTTGATTTCTGGAATGGCAGCCCTTGAGACCATGAAAGGGAGCCAAGTAGCACATCGGCAATAGCTTGGGCAATTCTAAACTTATGTTTTTAGTGTTTTTCTCGAACTTTGGGCCAGAAGGGGCATGTGTTGTTGGTTTTAATGAGAGGGGGTTCTGGGAGGTGCCCCCGAAAAATGAGAGGGTTTTTAGGCGCCAAACCCTGTGGGCGCCTTTAACGCAGTATTGGCGCGTCATTCATCAGAGTGGGTTCACTAAATCACATTGGACCATTACTTAATTAAGTATTGCCCTTTAAAGGTAACAGGCTAAGGCTCTGATTTGCAAGTTTCACCCACCCCAAAAGAAATTGGACATTAAACAGTCACATTAAACCATCAAAGCCTCTTGTGGGTAACCCTCTTTGTGAGATTGATTGTTTGCCCTTACCTGTTTGTAATAAAGAAGTCATCTTAATTTTTGTTGGTTTGGGGACCACCAATGTTGTTTTTGGTAAGGTCAAACAGTCGCACAAAGGGGGTTACCCACAACAGGCCCTGATCTCTTTGCTGTCCAACTTTTTTTTGGGGTAGGTGAAATTTACAAATCAGAACCTTGGCCCTTTCTTTTAAAGGGTGGTTCATGCCAAGCTCTTCGCAGCTCAAAGGCTTAGAGGCCTAAGTTATCTTAAGTTTGCTGGTTTGGGGACCACTCCAAAAAAGAAGTTCCTAATGCTGCGCGACGCAGCCATCCAGCGCTTAGTGGCCTGTTGAATGTGAAAGTGCTCCAACAGGGCTCCCCTATACAAAAAGTCGAGAGGGGATACGTAACCATCCGGCGGGCTCCCTGGAAAAAAGTCGAGAGGGGATGCCCTTGTGAGTGAACGTAACCATCCGGGGGGCTTCCGTAGCAAAGGCCGAGATGGGATGCCCTTGTGAGTGAACGCAACCATCCGGGGGCTTCCGTAGCAAAAAGTCGAGAGGGGATGTCCTTGTGAGTGCAAAAAGCCGAGAGGGCATGCCCTTGTGAGTGAACGTAACCATCCAGGGGGCTTCCGTAGCAAAGGTCGAGAGGGGATGCCCTTGTGAGTGAACGTAACCATCCGGGGGGCTTCCGAAGAACAAAGTCGAGAGGGGATGTCCTTGTGAGTGAACATATCCATCCAGGGGGCTTCCGTAGCAAAAATTCGAGAGGGGATGTCCTTGTGAGTGAACGTAACCATCCGGGGGCTCCCCTAGAAAAGTATCGGGGCGTGAGTGCGAGCAACCACCTATTTGCCGATGTTGTTTCCCAATTGTGTTGCTCAGGTTTTCCGGCATTTGTTGTTTTCAAAAAGGCCCTTCAAACAGCCACAGGATTCTGAATAAGGATTTG